AGTTATTCGCTTAGATGTAAACAATTAATTACTTAACCATTTTATCCAAATCAGCTGTTATGTTAATGCACATTCAGTCTTGAATTTCCCTGTACAATTATTCTTTAGGCCAATATATGAAACACTCATTGTTACGACAGTTAATGATTATTGTGTGGTACTAAGAGGTTAGACGAAATGGAATGACTGATGTTTTTGTTGCGTATATACATTTCATCATTGATTATATTATAGCAACTCTCCTACATCTGATTTTGATCACGGTTAATTTTGTCGAGCCTTTTTATTAACTTATCTAATAGAGTGTTATTCGAGCAGTAACAATTCGTCTATATTTTTGTATTATTATGATCACAATCATGTCTGTATAAACGTGTATGTTTGATCACATGTGACAGGCTATGTGCATAATCCTTACTGTAGTTTGAATGTCAATTGCTTAAATCTCGCTTGATGAGTCATTCTCTTTCTGAAAGATATACTTATGATCTTGAATGATATTAATTGCTTTCGCCTCTTCTCGCCTCACTTATCCTTTTTCTTGCCTCTCTGCACCTTGACTCGATTTGACTGAAAATTCACCTCTGTATTCGCACACACACACACACAAGCCTATCTGCTCCAAATTTGTGCGATGTGTTTGTACCTTTGTCTTTTATGCTGTCTGTTATTAAACTGTGATCGCCGCTTCTTATTGCCTTCTGAAATCAAACATCGTTGGGGAATAATGTGATGACAGTTATCAATGTGATTGATTGACGAAGCTAAGCCACCACAATCACAAATTTCGATTACAAATAACTGGTTAATATTTTGGTCTTCAAACAACTATATACTTTTTTTCGTTAGTTACAAGATTGTTATTGTAACAAGATCGTTATTTTATTTGTAATTACGTTCAAACAAGTAATTATTAACTTTCATAACATGATTATTTATACATGCAAATTATTAGCAAATAACATGTGATCATTTGAAAATGCATGATTAATACATTCAGACTAGAAAAACTGATTGACATATATTTAGTTAATCAACTAATGAATTCTAATGATACAACACATTGATTAAGCAATTAGATATAAGCTGATAAATGTGACACTATGATAATATCAGAAACTATTTCTAATTCAGACTTACTACTGAATTCATAATATCAATCACTGAAATAAAACTTAAATACAAAGTCTACTTTTCTTGTTGTTTTTCAACACAAATGTATTATGTTTTTTGAAACAATGATGAGATGAGTATAGAAATTGATTTTCAATGAGTGATGGGTATTTATACTTTATGGTAAAATCAATATACCAAACGATAACAAAATTATGATATTAACTAGTGTTACAGTTGTGCTTCTAATGATTTGTTAAATAGATGTGGTGATTGTATAGATTATTGATGCATTTTTACTTGATGACTGCTTGATTTCGAATTTCAAATACAATACATTTGTTTGTGATCATCTGGTACTTTTTGAATAATGTGCGTTATTTCTGTGATTCCTAGTTTATAATGTAATTCAAATACTCCTAATTATCACATTGTCGTCGCGATGGATGCTGTGATGGAACGGTTGGACATACTTTCAGTTTTTGATGCTCTTGATGATTATATGGAGAGGTTCGAAATCTGAACTATTTCGAAGGAAAACGTTGAGGATGTTAAAATTGTGACATATTTCTTTATGTTCATCGGAAAAGAAGGCTACAGCTAAATAAAGACTTTGACATTTCCAGACAAGTCGATTTCACTCCCTTATGCAACTCTCAAGCAACTACTACTGTACCATGTAAAGTATAAGATATTCACTTGCGCAACAGGAGAAGAATTCAATGAAATGACTCGCCAGAACATCATGAATTTCACTACATTACTACGTCATCTCAGTCCAATATGTAATCATGAATATTCAGATAACAATTCAGTGAGTTGTGAAACAGTTCACGAAGATGAACACAAGTCTGATAAATGATTGTTCTGTGGCAAGTTTCTTAATTCTGAATGCCTTAAATGTGGTTAAACTGGACACATTTAGCCAGTTTGTAATACCATGGTTCATTTTGCTGAAACTAATGCTAAAATGTGTGATTGTGACCCTACAAATGGAATGTTTCTAATGATCACTTATCTCTATCCAAAACTTCGAGTAGCGGTATAACGTCACCTAGCAGTCCAGAGTTGAATGAAACGCAGAATCGTTTTGAGACAAAAGTTTCTAATCAACCAACTTCTTATCAGATTTATCGTGGTATTGTATCAGATGTTGGATATTCTTCAAACCAGTGTGTGTCGAGTAGAATTCCCAGTCAGTGGTATGATGAATCAGAGGGAATAGCAAGCTTTCCTGAAGCAATCAGAGAATCAGTTTGCCCAGATATGGAGTTTTCACAGGCAGAGAATTCAAATCAAGTTCAAGATTATCCTAATGAGTATGAGGCAGATGCATGTTTTCCGTTTTGATTGTTTCGGAAGTGAATCAAGCCTAGATGAATCACATGTGTTAATTACACATTTCAATGCATATTCATCTGTGTTTAAAGTATAATGCACACCAGCACAATTACACAAAGTTTGTGATTCCAGAAGACATGCATAAAATTAATGCATGGATGGTGCTAAACTTCAATAGTTCACTGAAACCATACACCAGATAAGGTTCTGACTAATTATTCTACAGGAAGTTGTTTTCCACTAAAGTCCAATTACTCAGGATGACTGAATAAATCTACTGACCATTTCTTACTCCAATATCATCATATGAAAATGTTATGTACGAACAAATAATAGATGAATGATAATTGCTGAGAATTGTTTATGAACTGTTACTACACACATTTTACTGAATAATTACTAAATAACTAGATTACGTATATATTCATATTCCTTTTACCAAAAGCTTCCATTTGATCTATTGGCTACTGTTAACATATTCCGAGTTTATTGGTTGTAGTATTCCATACTCATAGCCACTTTTAGATTGATCTTGTATAATTACTATTTTTCATTTTTTGGTGTGATGCGGGAATTTTTTACCTGTATATCAACCATGTTTGTCTGAAATATACGATTTACATATTAGAGACCAATTTTGTGTTGTGGGATGGACGGTCTGAGTTGGGCGAGAAGCTACTACACAAACGACCAATTAGGCTCAGTGTTGACTTAGTGCTGCTAGTACTAGTTAACGCATCACTAATCCAGCACAGAGACAAGGTCATAGAGGTCGATATTCTGATTGGTCTCTCCTTTAAAACCGCTTTAACAGAACTTACACATGTGACCATATCCCATTGCACTGGAGAAATTAGAAAGACATTAGGTGTTTAACCGTTGTTGTCACTAACCTTAATTTTTAAACTTCCATTCTACTCATTGTAGTAAAACATAAAACAGTCTGGCACATGAAAACGGTAGACCTAATGTGGTGATTTTATGTCGCTGTTTCGTTCTCAGGGTCCCCATTTTCCCTCTAATAATAGATGATTATAATTACCCCGTAAATGTAGTGGAGTCATCCTCCGGTATATTAGTCAAACTTTGACAGGATGTCTCAGTCCTCCTAATGAAGATTTCTGATTCCTATTTGCTCCGTCACATTACTATACTTCTTATGATTAACTTCCTCTAAAAACAATCTATCAGTAGAATCGTTACGAAGTTTGACATTAAATATTTGTTCTTTACGTGTACTGTTGCGTGCTGTGTCAAATCGGTCAAACATGTAAATAGACGTGCATTGTTTGCTTATTTCCACAATAAAATTTGTTTGCCATTCAGTCTATTGTGGATTTGTGGATCAAATGATAATCATTCAACTACGTTTGACTGTCGACATTTCTTGTGATTTTCTAACTACTCCAATTCTGTAGAAGATTTGAACCTGAAGATAAATCATGTAAATAAGTGAAATCTGAGTAGACTCCACAGACTTGAGAATTAGTCGAGAGTATGTGACGTACACATCGATAACACTCAACATGAAGAATATTTAGTGCATGATTATTTCAGTCATCACGACCTTTAATGAATCGTTACTGTTTGTTTCTGATTATTATGTGCTCTAAGAAGATACCATCCCATTGTTTTCCAGTTAAACGTTCTCCTATTTTATCTCTGTTTTGTTACTAATTGACCCTTAACTATCATTCGCTAATTCCTACCGGGTAAGGTTAAGTTCGAAGTGATTGAGACATATATCTCCATTTCAAGGAAATCAATCACATAACCCTACGGACTAACAAAATATATGGTTTCACAGTCCGTCGAGGGTCTCAATATTGGCTTACTTAGACCCAAAATCATTCTATATGTTCAGTGATCGGTCACAGTACCCTGACCTGGTCATTTATCACTGAGATACACTACTTTCGTTTGTCATTAAAAGAACGATAATGCTATAATGATGTAATGTTCAGACTTTGATAGGCTTTCGTTTATTGTAAAGATGCGTTGTTTGCTAACGAGGGGGGAGTGTGTAAAGTAAAACGTGATCGAGAATAAGAAATATAGAGGAACAAGACAAAAGTGAGACGACGAATTGTAAGTTCGCAAAATGCACTTGCGTCTAACATCGAATCATATCGACAACAATAAACACGTACACTAGCATGAAATGAAAGCGTCCTGATTATTGAAAAGAGGAATCGATTGGCTAGAATGTCGATTACGTCACACAAATATCCGATTCATACGATTTACTAAATACAGACAGGTGTGAGCAGCATCCATCTATTAATAATACAACTTGTTTGCAACCGCCCAATGCGATGACAAGAAGTTAAACACAAATAATACTGTATTTAGTGGATCACAACTTTATTTTTAATTTTCAATGTAAGCACACAGCTGTGTGCTATGAAACAAAAGTCATTACGTTTTACCTAAGTGATTGAAAAACAAATTTCTTGATGGAAAGCATGAAAATAATGATCGGTGACACATAGAAATTACTGTAATGCTGATGTACTGGCAGGCTATTGTGCTACCCGTACTACATTTCACCAAATAATTCCCTGTATCACTTCATTCAGAGTGGCAGCACTTTTTCTCAGTTTACACAATTCATCATCATTAAGTTCAAGTGGGATCAAATGACTGATTCCAGCTGAAGTAACAAGACATGGTAAACTCAAATAAACATCTTCGTTGATTCCATGGATTCCTTTGACAGGAACAGAGAGTGGATAAATTGTGTGAAGATTATTTAATAGTGCGTTACAAAGTGATCGACAGGTCAACCCGATTGCCCATGAGGTATAACCTTTCAAGCGAATAATGTCATAGGCACTCTGGACAACTTGTTTATGTATTTCTTCGAAGTTCTCAGGATCACCCTTGCATCCTATCTTCGGATTTAGAGAGGAAAGCCGAACTCCAGCAACATTCACATTACTCCAAACAGCAACACTCGAGTCACCATGCTCACCAATTACATATCCATGTACAGAATTGGCAGACACTCCCAATTTCTCACCTAACAGAAAACGGAACCTCGCAGAGTCAAGCATTGTTCCGGTCCCAATCACTCTATGGGGTTCAAATCCACTCAATTTTCGAGCAACATATGTCAAAATGTCCACAGGGTTCGACACAACAACTATGATGCATTTCGGACTGTATTTGACAATATTTGGTATTATTTTCTTGAATATATCGACATTACGCTGAACAAGGTTCAGTCGTGATTCTCCTTCGTTTTGTCTGGCACCAGCAGTGATGACGACAATGTCTGAGTTTGCAGAGTATTTGTAGTCTGTTCCTCCATCAATTTTGCACCTGCCAAAAAACTGTTGACCATGTTGTAGGTCAAAAACTTCTCCTTTAACTTTATCTGCTACGACATCAATGAGTGCAAGTTCTCCAGTTATTTGCATAGTCGAGAATGCTGCCGCCATTCCAACCATTCCAACACCTATAACAGTCACTTTACTACGAGAACGAGGCTCGACACTCGATGAAGCCACCGGTTTCATTAATAAGTTGCTAGATAACGACATCCCAATAAAAAACAATTTAATCGTATAGATAATACGACCTTGTGTATTGTAAAGGCTGTTGTTGTTGATAAGTAGTTTGCAGACAGATGAAGCTAGTAGTCTTATGGCTGGGAATCTGCAATATGGAAGATGGAAGTTATCGAGCACGATATGAGTTTGTGCGCTTTCACCTTGGCTATTTTATATACAGGTAATTGTAAAGTGAAAACACAATACAAGTATCAAAACCTTACCTAGAAAGTTGTGCTAAAGTGACCGAGTAAAACAAACTGAGTACTATCGATTTCTATTCAAACTTTGAGTGCAAAGAGATGTGATTGATTGTTTTGTTAAGTATTTGCTCTTTATTTTTGTTTACATGAGACTCGGTTTGCAAATCATATTTTTCATTAGGCACATTTCCCATGATTATATTTAATTTGTACAATGGTTGACGATGCTCAAAAATTGTTGCTTAAATCGACCTAGAATGCTCGAATACACTTGCATGTTACAGTGATCATCGTTTACTGAATGCTACTGCATATATCACATCTGATTCTCTCCCGATTCACTGAAACAAAAGGCTATTCGCGTTCGCAACATTTACGTCTTAGTATGTTCTGATCCACTTTGCATAATAATCGTGAATCATATAGGACATTTTAGGAATAATAATTCCATGTCATAAAAGCAGCATAATGGGTAACCCAGAACGACCACATCCAAGCAACTGCGCACATTCAACTGTCTGTTAAGTTCTATAAACGATTCTTGCTGTAAATCACTAACATAGATTGTCTGTGTCAGATGATTGTAGCCTAATCGAGTCAGACCAACCCATTTACGTCGAAGTCATGTCCCGGAGTTGTTACCTGACATGAATTACCCCTCCGTCGTATCCAGGTGCTAATGCTGCTTTGATGATCGTGCAACACAAACGAGGTTATTACGGAAATACATTAGTATGAGTAGGTGCAAGAAATAGAGTGCCACCACTGCAGCATGAGCCAGTCCATTGCATGTAATTAACCCACCGGTTGTCTTCGATCAATACGAGAGTCGTCGTAGTGTTTGACATTCTGTATCGACTTCCATGTGGTTTGACTATCGCTCCGTGACATTTCTTCGACTTTACAATACCGAACTCTGTGTCCTTCGTGAGACCACTATCAGACAAACTTCGTGAAGATGTAAAAGTTATCAACTTGAACGACAGCGTCAAGAAAGCACTTATCACGGTGAAAGACGGTGTCGCAAAGTGAACAATGTTGGGACATCTCGACATTAAAGTATACAATAGTATCTCTGTGGACGCATTTGATTCAGCATACGGAGGAGTCTACAACAATGAGTAAACATGCCACAATTTTCTTCTCGAGATGGTTGCGAGGCACTTGTTCGAGGTATGGCTTTTCGGCGGAGAACTGTTGACTATGTATTCTTGTGCATGGTATGTTTGTCCATCTGTGAAAGGCTGAGGACTCGATTCCTCAATGACTGTAAACCCCTAATATGTGCTGTTCGAGTAACCATCAAACTCAGAACAGAACGATTTTTCTGGCTTCATAATAATAGATGCGTAAGGTAGTGAGCACGCTCTCTTGTACGCTGCTGGAATTCTAAGTTGGTAAGATACAGTGGATGTCCCTTAAGCAACTTCTCAAATTGTGGAATTCATTTCAACCATCTTCATCATGATTACGTATGACTCTAATTCAAATAACGTGTATATTCCGGTCTCTGAATTTGTAAACCGTTCCACAAAATTATCACTAGCATATATACTAGCGATAATACTGTTGAAAATTTGGTCTATCCTCGCCGGATAGTGGGTGGCAGACATTGGTTCATCTTCAACTATCACTACAACTGTTAATGAATACTTAAAGATTCCCATTGTGAAAATTAGAACAACATATGTAAGCGAACAATTGTTTTCAATTAGATCGTCATCAGGCTTTACTCTAATATACATGAATATTTATATGAAAATGTTAGACCAATCAAGGCTATTTGAGTCAATAATAATCACAATGAAATAGAATACGTTACCAAGCATAATAATAGTTAAAAGTACAAGTTGATAGTGGGAAGACAGGTGTACTGATAGTAGTAAGAATGGTAAATTACGATAACAAAAGTCTTATCAATAATTAAACATAAGAATTAAGAGGTCAAACATGGGTAAATAGACTGGAATAGTAATCACAAAACCCACGTTTGACCTCTTAATTCTTATGTTTAATTATTGATAAGACTTTTGTTATCGTAATTTACCATTCTTACTACTATCAGTACACCTGTCTTCCCACTATCAACTTGTACTTTTAACTATTATTATGCTTGGTAACGTATTCTATTTCATTGTGATTATTATTGACTCAAATAGCCTTAATTGGTCTAACATTTTCATATAAATATTCATGTATATTAGAGTAAAGCCTGATGACGATCTAATTGAAAACAATTGTTCGCTTACATATGTTGTTCTAATGAATACTTGTAATCCCTTGATGATGATGGTGACAGTTCTCCAAGTTTCAGCTCCATACAGTAAAACCGTCTACACGTTCGTTTTGAAGATTCTGATTTTCATGTTGATTGATAGTTGTTTTGAGTTCTAAACATTGGTTTAACTGTATGAATGCTGTCCTTGTTTAGTCAATTTCTGATTTTACGTCTGCATCAGATCCTCCTTGTCCATCAACGATGCTGTCCAGATATGTAAAAGTTTCTACCTCTTTCAGAACTTCTCCATCAAATGTGATTAGAGCGGTGTTCTCCATGATGTATTTAAGGATCTTGCTTTGTCCCTTGTGTATATTGAGGCTCGCTGATGAATAGGTCTTACTGCCACACTGATCGTCTTGACCTGCATTTGCTCGTATATATGGGATAGAAGGGCTGAGTCGTCTGAGAAGTACAAATCGTCTACTTGCATTCTAGCTGTCCATCGTATTCCGTGCTTCTGCCCAGATGTCTAAGTCAAAGAAGATTCCGTAATGTTCCCTCATCCACGTTGTCAAACGCCTTCTCATAATCAATGAAGTTGATGTATAGTGACGAGTTCCACTCAACTGATTGTTCCACAATGATACGTAGTGTCGCGATTTGGTCTGTAAACGACCCATCCCAAAGGAACCCAGTCTGTTGACCTCAAAGTTGAGTGTCCACTGAATCTTCCAGCTGGTTCAACAACACTCGGTTGAAAACTTTTCCTGATACCAATAGTATTGCGATGCCTCTGTGGTTCTCACATTTGCTCAGATCTCCTTTCTTTGGTATTCTGATGAGGTATACTTCTTTCCAGTCTGTTGGCACTCGTTCTTTCTGCCAAATCTTCCTGAATAGAACGTGTAACATGCTTGCGGTTGCTTCTATGTCTGACTTCAATGATTCAGCTGGTATATTGTCAGATCCTGTTGCTTTCCCATTCTTCATGTGTCTGATGGCTATCCTGATTTCCTCGATCGTTGGTGGAGTGACACCTATAGGAAAGTCTGTGTGTGCTGTTTCGATGTCCGGTGGATTCCATGGAGTAAGCCGATTCAAGATTTTCTCAAAGTGTTCTACCCATCTGTTCTTCCGTTCTTGAATTTCAGTGATTGGCTTTTTTCTCTATCCTTGACTGGTCTCTCTGGTTTACTATATTTCCTTGTCAGTTTCTTCGTCGTGTCACATAGTTTTTTTTAATATTTCTTTCTATTGAAGCTTTTCCGCTGTCGTTGCTAGCTCTTCCACATATTTCTGATTGTCAGCTCTAATACTCCTATTCACTTGGTCGTTTGCTTGTGTTTTGGCCTGTATCTTGACTTTTACTTTTTTTGTTCGGCCGTTGTTAACTGCCGTCTTCTTGCTCTTCCCCTTCTTGAGTTCTGTCCGGGGTTTCGATGGAGGTTCATTCCTTACCATGATGATTCTTGTGGCTCAAAACCTCCAAGCATGTTGGGGTCAGTGCTCCATTGATCCCTTTTCGATTGCCCTCCACAGTGGTTTCTCCTTCTTTGAGTAGATCTTGTAAGGCTTGGAACCTATTCCCAAGTGCTATATTGAGTTCACCGAGTTTCTCAGTATGTCGAAGGAAGGGTGTATTTAACCTTCGTCTTCCATTATCCTTCTGAATTTTTTAGTGATGCAAATATGATCGACTTCGTCCTGTGTAGTGTGATCCGGTGAGACCCATGTAGCTTTATGTATGTGTTTGTGGTGGAACATTGTGCCGCTCACAACCATTTTGTTGAATGAACACAAATTTGCAAATCTGTCACCATTCTCGTTCCTTTCTCCTTGTCAGTCCATGTCGTCTCATGATATCTTCATACCTAGTCTTGTCCGTTTCGACTTCAGCGTTTAGGTCACCTATCAGGATGGTCATATCGTTTCTTGAGCACTTCGCTATGAAATTGCAGCCTCTCGTTGCCGTTGCTATCATTGGTGGGTGAATAACGTTGGACAACACTCATTGTGATTGCCTCCTACTTTGTTTTAAAATATGCTTCGACGATCCTGAGTCTACGAGATTCTCATCCTATAAGTGCTTTACGTGCTCCATTGGATAGCATCAAAGCAACTCCCCGAGTGTAAGAAGCATTTTCTTTTTCGTGACCAAAGTACAGTAGCATCTCTCCCGAACCTATTATTTTCTGTCCAGTTTGGGTCTAATAGGTTTCGCTTATTTTGAACACCTCCAATTCGTATCTCCTCCCCAAATACTTTTTGACAGCGAACAACTGATGGGAGTGAATTATATCCAATCTCTGTATGCATAATTATGTACTGTAACTGCGATGTGGATATAATTTAAGGATCTTGGTTACGTGATTTTTAGGATGATAATTTGGTATTACTACATGGTTTCAAGATTTACCGTCAGCATCATAATCCACAAATATACAAAGTGCAGTGCTGGTACTGCTCAGTAAATGCGTTTTAGGTTTATAAATGATTAACCACCTGGTGTTCAAATCTTAGTCGATATATATATATATATATATATGTAAATATCCTTATTGCATTTCATCTACAATAGGCATTTTTACTGACTAGTGCACTAGGTTTGATGCCACTATCCTCACTGATTATCTTAGAGTCGTACGTGATGATTTCAATTCATGTTACTGTAACTTTCATACGCTACTCAGTCACCAAGATCATTTCAACTCCTTTATTTGTTATGATTCAACTGTGTTTCAAAATAAATCATCATGGAATAGCATTTATGACTACATGAGCAATTTTATCAGTAAACGAGGGTTAAAGAAGGTTAAAATACCTATGCTTGTACATAAAACCAGACTTTAAAAAAAGGGTCGTCAGAACTTACCCGTCGAATTCGTTTCAATTCCCGCTTACTGTGGAGAGCAGGTACTGATGTTAAGTAATAAGGGTTCTTTACAGAAAGAAAAATAGTATTAATTTCATTATTTTGAGGTATTAAGGAACCAACAAAGGCGTCACACAAAATTAGAATGCAATTTTATAAAAACTTAAAATCCAAACAAGAAAAATATTACTTTTCAAGGAATGTTTTAACTGCTGAACATATAGCTCCTAAGAGAAGAGTAGGTCAAATAGACACACATATAGCCCATTTATCAAGCACGTTTAAGTGCTCAACTATGGGCCACAATTTCTAATGAGGGATGGTGACACTACTAGCTACACAGACCGAAGTATTTACGAGGTTTGAACTTGTGACTAATTGACTGAAGGTTAAATTCTCTAGCCACCGTTTTGCAACTATTAAATCGCAACCACAATTAGTAAATGTTAGTCTCGAATTCTAACCGGAATACGTTAATGCTAGTAATGTACTGACAAATAAAGCAGAGAACAATTACTGATCCTGTCAGTAATAATGTTAGATCACATGGAAGTAGAGTAAACAGGTTAATCAGATACTATACGATGAATGAAGGCACAATCGGATACAGAGGATATCGTCTTACCCATTTTCACCCATAATGGTCCATACTAACACAAACAGTATTAACTTCATAAAACCAAATGTTTAATCAGCTAACCTCACTCGGCGGCTTTTCACTATCGATCTCACTAGTATTAGTTGTTAATATACCCAATCCTTGCCATAATTTTGCTTCCTTTTTCGGATCATACACTTCTGGTTTGGAGTTAAAGGGGTTTTCCAGAAGACTGTAGTCAACAGGACAATTTTGGAGGTATTCAGACGAGCAATCAGACAATTTTATTGGGGGCTTCCACCTAAGTTTTTAGAAAAATAATGGATTTAAGACAATACACAAGTGCTTTAGATACAATATTGGAAAGTAGTTGCGGACGCAAACCATAGGTGTTTATTTCATTTAATAATACGTCAGCTCATACTTCTAAAGTTAATTGATGTGATTAAACTAAAGACTATTCCAGTACAATGTAGCTCATGCTACTATTGGACATTAAACGATGGTACTTGTTGAGGACGTTAAATCCCCAGAACTCACTTAGAAAAGTTCCTAATTTTGCAATTTTATTGTGAACGATTGAATCTGTTTTCGCGCCAGAAAGCGCTCAGTTGACATACAGCTTCCGTTTCCCACTCGGAATTCCTTGTCTGTCATTGGTTGACACATTTTTTTAGTACGCCATTTTGTGACTCTCACAAGGGCGTTTCCATCATTGTATAAATAGGCTTGATTTGTGTGCTTGGTGACCTTGTGTTTTCTGGGTGCTTGTAGAATACATTTTTCTACACCTTACCAAGACTTCTTGATCTAGTTAGCAGGGCCGAGGACAACGGATTAGAATAGCCTATCGTGTCACTGTGTCATCGACCTTCGTTCCGTTACCGAGTAAGGTGAATTCGTAATAGCATCGAGCATATCAGCACTGAAGCTGTATTACATGTATACTTATGTATATAACCACTTCGGTTTGAGGTTGTTACGAAACTCTACGTTATCAATTTTACATATAACTAAACGAAACATACACGTAAGATTTGCTGTGGGGTATGAAAGAAAGTTCTTCCTCATCCATTGTGTAGTGTGTAATGAGTGACTGTAAATTGAGGTACCAACCAGTTTGTCAAGAGATGAAATAAATAACCTGAAAATCAAGAGTAGAAGTGAACAATAATATCAAAGAAACTATTGTACAAGAAACAGGTTCACACCACATACAAAACAAAATTTCAGTGAAAGTTAACGCATTTAAAGCTCATCCTTGATCCAAGACTGCTGACTAAAATGTAGATCACATAACTCGGACTAGAAGTATCTGATATTTGTAACATATAAGACTTATTTTATTTATTTATTTAAACACATAAATATTGTAACAAGGAAGCACCAGATACATATGCGCCGCACAAATCTCCTTTGAATTGTGTGAGGGCTATGATACTGCACAGGTGCCCAAACTGAAACAGGTGGTTTTCTTAGGGAGTCATACCTGGAGCCTTTCACCTAAATATTTAAATTACAAGGTAGCGAAGGTCCACGTTTTTGAAGATTCTTATGGACAGAAACTGGTTGAGACATTTACACATGCCTCCCATTGCAACTTGTGAAAAAGCAGTTAGGTACAACTCGAACTCGGAATTATTCACACTGGATCTCATATTTACCCATTAAGAAGATGTCTTCACAAAACATCACCATAGGGCACCCAAAGTTAGGAGTGACATGAGTTCCCAGTCTCTGATTTCCATATCGTTGTCAACAAAGATGTTTCAGCTAAAGTCAAAGCAGACGTTTGGGAGGCAAATATACGAGAAGTCATACACTCAGCACCCTCAGCATATCATGCAATGGAACTAGAATCTCACACTGAAGTAGCCCGGGAGGAATTCGGAAAATTTTACATAATGGGTAATGTGCCATATAACCGTTGAATTGTACTAAGGAGTTCGAGAACATCCTCGCCATGATTCAGTAAGGAGATTCGAACCATTCTACGTAAGAGGAAAAGAATGTGGTAGAAATTTTGGACACTTGATCATGATACGACAAGATTTCGATGTTGGGGAACTCGAAATTCCTGTGTCTCGGCCTTCCGCTAGTCTAGAAGATTGTGTGAAGGATAGTTCATACTCGCGGGTAAATCAAATGGTTAAGATAAGATGCGGCATCTCAGCATCATAGGGAGACAATAGTATAGCATCACTAGTGGGGGACGATCATAGCTACGCCCAGGTATTCTCAAATTGCTTTGGAAGTGTATGTACCGTAGAGATCTACAGTAGAGACTATTAAAATAACTGATGTCTTTGATCTGCTACATGAGCTTGATATAGGTAAATCCATGAGACCAGATGCAATGCATGCTAGGTTATTAGAGAAATCAGTAAATGTAATCGCCAATCCCTCAAGCATACCTTTTAATCTATCTGTAACCCAGGGCAGAAGAACGCCATATTAAGGGCTGTCTTCAAAACAGGTACGAGACAAACCTGAGAATTATTGGATGGCAGGCTTAACCAGTGTAGTTGTTGAAATTTTAGAGGAGAATATGCGAAAGGGATTATTTAATTATCTAAGCGAAAACCTTACTTTTTCTTGAAAGTAGGATGGATTTATAATAGGTTGTTCATATCTCACAAACTTATTAGCAGTTTTCGAAATTTGATACGTTCTTAAAAATAAAAGATCGAAGTAACCTTCATTGACTTCAGTAAGGCTTCTGACAAAGAGGGATAAAATGTGATAGTGGTAGTTCAGACCTTTAAAACGACCTAGACCAATTATCTTAATGGTCTGGAATTCGGCAGTCATCGACGAGTGCTTTCAACTGTATTACATGCATATTAGTCACTAAGGCACAGACGAACAAATCGTGAATAACATTGTGCTACCAGTTGTCCAAACACACAGTGACTTAGGAATCATCGTTTGGCAACACTTCAAAACTACTCCAAACTGCCGTGCGATAACTGCCACGGGTTTCAGAACCCTGTGGTCATTACGTAGAATCTCTAGTCATATCAATGATTAGACCTTCTTGACTTTGTATACGTTGTTAACTAGTCCTAGATTGGAGTGCTGCCCATAAGCAGCTAGCCCAGTCTGATAAAGAGACAGTGAGCTGTTAAAAAAGGTTCAAAGAACCTCAGCTAAGTTGGACTCCTGTAGTCAAAAGGCTCTTTCCTTCTCGGAGTGACGAAAAGTGAATGCCGTAGAGGTAATAGATCAGGAAGTGAATTAACCGGACTTACTAGATGGTGCAAGAAACTTTCCTTAGAACTCTCTTTTTCCCTGTGATAGTGTTAAGACTGTTTTAAACTACTGCTCTTCGTCCTGCTTCTTTAGCTTCTCCTGTCGTGATCATTTAGTGTTCACTCGTTGTATATTATTATTTCAGACAATTTGTTAGATTAAGTGGACGACACAGCTCATCTTTCAACGGTTCAAGGTCGGATGACTGGTGTAGTTCAAGAGGTATGTAATGCAAAACCCTACTCCATTAGCCTTTCAGGGTGAATGGCGGGAACGTGTAATGTATACCCAATTTGTGGTTCGTTTGATGAGACTATAATTTATGGTCAACCTTTGAGCAACGCTGAAGTTGCTTTGAGAATATCCACCTACGTACTAGGGCTAAATGAGGGTTTTAGACTTGTGTGAGGAATAAGGTTTAAGACTTACGGTTGCTGGTTCGGGTTAGGAATTAGATTTAGGGTTTTCAATACAAAGTGACTTCATCTAAAATGCCAAAACGCTATTTGGCCAGATGAACGAAGAATCTCGAGGTGAAATCCAAGATCTATTATCGTAAATCTGATTGGTTAGTTGACAAATTATAGTCTTATCAGTTTTTGTTAATTCTCTTTTAAATCTAGAGTATATATTTACCGCAACAGAATCACGGGTAACTTTTTTATGGGAACTTTTCCTGATCGGGAAACAGCTTTCTCGGTTTTGAAAAATGATGTTATACAGTACTTCTACACAACAATTACATAGTCCATTTGCATGAAATTCTCAAAAGTTGTATATCTTGCTTTGGAGATTTTCAATTTATTAGTGTGGTTGATGTTTACAAAGACATTGATTGGTTGGTATAAACTAAATCGACTTAGTTTCATTCTTTCTTTAATTGACTGGATCACTTCATACCTAGGAAACCGACATTTTAAGGTCAGGGTTAACTTCACTCTCTCTCAGGCTATGGAATGTCCTAGTGGGGTCCCCCAGGGTTCAATACTAGGACCTCTTCTCTTCTTGATTTATATTAACGATCTTCCTCAACAAGTTTCATCTGATTTATTGCTTTTTGCTGATGATGTGAAACTTTGGAGAGAGATACGTACTCACAACGATATACTAGTTCTGCAGGAGGATCTGACTCGACTTCAAAGTTGGGCAGACGACAACGGACTTACCTTCAACACTTCAAAGTGCAAGGTAGTCCATCTGAGACATGTTGCAGACTATAGTTATAACTTAGGTAACTCACCTCTAGAAGTTTGCCAAGTTGAAAAAGATTTAGGAGTGTTGGTACCCTACGACCTGAAATCGTATGCGAACTGTGACAAAAACGCCTCTCAAGCAAACCTTGCACTGGTAACATTGAAGCGCATTTTTGGCCAGTTTGACGGTAGAACCTTCCACATAATCTTCAACAGTTTTATTCGTCCCCACTTAGAGTACGGAAACATAGTATTTCCTCCCTCCCTCCAAAAGGATAAGGTCACTCTGGAACGTATACAACGTCGAGCCACGAAATCAGTTCGGGGTCTCAAATTCAAACCTTATGAAGAGCGCCTCAAATCACTTAACCTTTACCCGTTAGAGTATAGGCGTCTTAGAGGTGATCTTCTTATGACTTATAGTATCCTTAATACTTCTGGTCATCCCCTTAAACAACTTCTTAAGCTTAGTCATAACACTAACCTCAGAGGTAACACCCAGAAATTGGAGACCCTACATAGCAGAACAGACTGCAGACACAACTTCTACTCCGTTAGAGTTGTCAAGTGCTGGAATTCGCTGCCGACTGAGCTAGTCCAAGCGACCTCCCAGGAGTCCTTTAAGAGAAAACTTGACTTATTCTGAAGGACTAAGGATAACATATTATTATGATTTACCAAATTCTTTTTTTCCCTCTATTATCGTTCATATACCTAGGTTCTTGCCTGGAGGTATTGGTGATCCACTGCTATCAGACACGGAAGCCCGTTAAGCGAAAGCTTCTTCTATTCCGTCCTCAACCATTTGAACCATTTCTGAAAATGTCGATTAATGATCAACATTATACTAATTAAGAACGAATAGATAGGTCATACCATTCATATGTTAAAAACGCAACATGTTTTGCAATTCTATTAATGTCTTCAACAAATCAATAGAAACTTCATCTAGTTGGGAATAACATGTACAGTTGTATGACTTATGGTGGTAGGACTAAACTATACTGCCGAACCAATCAGAAGCTTTCGCGGGTTTTCAAGGTCACGGCGCTAGGTTCGGTACCTGATGCTTACGTACGATAGCTTTACAGCGAATTTTAGGGAAGACGTGATAATTCAACGTCTACAAGAGAAGTGATTATAAGATTTTGGCGCGAAATTCAATTATCCATTTGGATAAATAGAGTTTTGGCATTATAGCTGATGTCAGTTCGTGATGAAAACCCTAAGTATAATTCCTAGCCTTAACCATGAACTGTAAATCATAATTTGAATTCTTCTTACAGTTTTATAACCCTCATTTGGTCTTATTTATTATTTGACACTCAGAGTCACTCTAGCGTCGCTCAGAGGTCATTCATAAATTATATTCTCACCCTAACTCTAACCCTAAATCGTAAACCATTCCAATATGCTAACACTATTGAAGCTATGTGGTCGAGGCTAAAATGATTTTTGAGACCTTATCATGGTTTCAGAGGTCGACTACTATGAAGCCATATGGATGTGCTCCTGTACCGTATGCACCATGATTTTAGAACTTCTGAACCTATATCTGGCCTTCAGAAGTTTTTGACTCATGTAAAAGAAGTGTTTCCACTTTAATTCTTTGGTTTTTTATAATAAATTTTTACTGTACACTGTCTTCTGATTGGCTAATATTTCTCAAGGTCATTTAAGATTCGTTCAAAGGTCGGCAATATAGTTTAATCCTACTGTAGTCTTATTGTTGTAATGGTATCAATATTGGAAAAGTGTTGTCAAAATTTATTATGACAACGTTTATAAATGAGGTATATTAAATGGTGGATTGAGAGAACAGTTGCTCCAAAAAGAAACCATAATGAGTAATGTCATACAGATGGTAATCAAATGAGTTACACCATTTGAGTCCTTTCAATTGCCAATCGAAAAAAACTTCAGTTAATCGTCAAAACTATGGGTCATGTTCTAACGTTTAAAGGCATTTAAATCTGTTTTTTTTTTCATGAGTTTTCCCTGTTATTAACTAATCTTAACTGCCATCAGCTCTCTAAGGTCACTTTAAGAGTTTCTTAATTTTTCTCTCGTATTTTAGTTTTGGTCACTAGTCTATTGTTGTTACTAATAAACACGTTCCCACCTTTTTCATAATCCAGAACAGTTTAGCAACCAGCTGGTCAGTGTTTATATGTAACATCCATGTTAGGTAGTTGTTGACCAATAAGTAGGAGAGATGTGGTTGCTGTTAAGCGTGCGAACATCCTCATTTTTTAAATCCGTTTCTGTATATTACCAACTTATCCGTTCACTAAAGTTACAAGTTTCATCATTTTGGTCTGACATTCTACTTCGTCTCAAACCACCACCCATTTTCATGGTTAGCAGTGGTAACTTAGCATACCAAACGCTTCCCCTACATATATTTTTATACACTTTGAGATTATTAATGGCTCTCATACCAAGAAATTGTAGCCCCAAATTTGATCAACACTATCTATACTTCACAAATGCCCAAATGCCCTGGTACGGCCGACAGTGGAGAGAGTCACCTTTCCCTCTCGAAATACTCTCATATGGCCAGCGAATATATAGCCTCTGCCAGGGAAGTCCTACTCACTGCCTTCTCGTGGCGGGGGTGTTGTTTACGAAAGTGAGAGGACGAAAAGCGAATGTCCGGCGCTTTAACCGGGTTGATGGACACGGAGGGTCCACCTAGGGGAGTTGGAAAACCCTGATTCCAAACCAATGGTGCACATGGGCCCCAGTATCCTGATGGAACGAATGGCGGACGAACCTGTCATTGGTCAACGGCTACCATGGGACTGCATCTCCTCACGATGCTCCACTGCCTTGTGGATCAGACATTCAGGTCAAAGGCTCCGGGTGTGGCCCCCTAAGAAAACCACCTGCTTCAGTCTGGGCACCTGAGCAGTATCACAGCATTCACACAAATCGAATGGGATTTGTATGGCGCATATGTATCTGGTGCTAAATTGTACCAATATTTATGTGTTTAAATAAATAAATAATAAAATACTTCACAAATGTGAGCGAGGTGACGAACGCCTTCTAATGTACAAGTAATCAACCTGTAGCACGATTTATTAGTAACAAATATTAGTTTGGGTAATTAAGATAGCTTTTTACGAAGAATATATACTACGTAACCCATAATGCATTATTTTAGACTTTATTTCTAGCTTCTTTGTTGTACAGTCGCATAACTTTTATTTATTATTTTATTTAAACACAAATATTGCTACAAAGGGGCACCAGATATATATGCGCCATGCAAATCTCACTTGATCTGCGTGAGGGCTGTGATACTGCTCGGATGCCCAAACTGAAGCAGGTGGTTTTCTTAGGGAGCCACACCTAGAGCCTTTGACCTGAAGGTCTGATCCACAAGGCAGTGAAGCATCGTAAGGAGATGCAGTCCCATTGTAGCCCGTGGCCAATGATTGACTCATACGTCATTTGTTCCCTCAGGATACTGGAGTCCATGTGCACCATTGGTTTGGAATCAGGATTTTCCAACTCCCATAGGTGAATTTTTCGTGTCCACCAACCCTGTAAAAGCGCCTGACATCCGCTTTTCGTCCTCTCAATTTCGTAAACAACACTTTGACCCACTACTAGAAGGCAGTGAGTGGGACTTCCCTGACAGAGGCTATATACGCGTGGCCATGTGAGAGCATTTCGAGAGGGAGAGTGGACTTTCCTCACTCTTGGCCAATCCAGGGCATTCGGGCTCGTCGCCCGATGGATAAGGCATCTGACTTCGCATAACTTTAGGCTTATATGTGCTCCCAAATGCCCTGGTACGGCCGAGAGTGAGGAAAGTCCACTCTCCCTCTCGAAATGCTCTCACATGGCCACGCGTATATAGCCTCTGTCAGGGAAGTCCCACTCACTGCCTTCTAGTAGTGGGTCAAAGTGTTGTTTGCGAAATTGAGAGGACGAAAAGTGAATGTCAGGCGCTTTCACCGGGTTGGTGGACACGAAAAGTTCACCTATGGGAGTTGGAAAATCCTGATTCCAAACCAATGGTGTACATGGGCTCCAGTATCCTGAGGGTACATACACTTCCAAAGCAATTTGAGAATACCTGGGCGTAGCTATGATCGTCCCCCACTAGTGATGCTATACTATTGTCTCCCTATGATGCTGAGATGCCGCATCTTATCTTAACCATTTGATTTACCCGCGAGTATGAACTATCCTTCACACAATCTTCTAGACTAGCGGAAGGCCGAGACACAGGAATTTCGAGTTCCCCAACATCGAAATCTTGTCGTATCATGATCAAGTGTCCAAAATTTCTACCACATTCTTTTCCTCTTACGTAGAATGGTTCGAATCTCCTTACTGAATCATGGCGAGGATGTTCTCGAACTCCTTAGTACAATTCAACGGTTATATGGCACATTACCCATTATGTAAAATTTTCCGAATTCCTCCCGGGCTACTTCAGTGTGAGATTCTAGTTCCATTGCATGATATGCTGAGGGTGCTGAGTGTATGACTTCTCGTATATTTGCCTCCCAAACGTCTGCTTTGACTTTAGCTGAAACATCTTTGTTGACAACGATATGGAAATCAGAGACTGGGAACTCATGTCACTCCTAACTTTGGGTGCCCTATGGTGATGTTTTGTGAAGACATCTTCTTAATGGGTAAATATGAGATCCAATGCGAATAATTCCGAGTTCGAGTTGTACCTAACTGCTTTTTCACAAGTTGCAATGGGAGGCATGTGTAAATGTCTCAACCAGTTTCTGTCCATAAGAATCTTCAAAAACGTGGACCTTCGCTACCTTGTAATTTAAATATTTAGGTGAAAGGCTCCAGGTATGACTCCCTAAGAAAACCACCTGTTTCAGTTTGGGCACCTGTGCAGTATCATAGCCCTCACACAATTCAAAGGAGATTTGTGCGGCGCATATGTATCTGGTGCTTCCTTGTTACAATATTTATGTGTTTAAATAAATAAATAAAATAAGTCTTATATGTTACAAATATCAGATACTTCTAGTCCGAGTTATGTGATCTACATTTTAGTCAGCAGTCTTGGATCAAGGATGAGCTTTAAATGCGTTAACTTTCACTGAAATTTTGTTTTGTATGTGGTGTGAACCTGTTTCTTGTACAATAGTTTCTTTGATATTATTGTTCACTTCTACTCTTGATTTTCAGGTTATTTATTTCATCTCTTGACAAACTGGTTGGTACCTCAATTTACAGTCACTCATTACACACTACACAATGGATGAGGAAGAACTTTCTTTCATACCCCACAGCAAATCTTACGTGTATGTTTCGTTTAGTTATATGTAAAATTGATAACGTAGAGTTTCGTAACAACCTCAAACCGAAGTGGTTATATACATAAGTATACATGTAATACAGCTTCAGTGCTGATATGCTCGATGCTATTACGAATTCACCTTACTCGGTAACGGAACGAAGGTCGATGACACAGTGACACGATAGGCTATTCTAATCCGTTGTCCTCGGCCCTGCTAACTAGATCAAGAAGTCTTGGTAAGGTGTAGAAAAATGTATTCTACAAGCACCCAGAAAACACAAGGTCACCAAGCACACAAATCAAGCCTATTTATACAATGATGGAAACGCCCTTGTGAGAGTCACAAAATGGCGTACTAAAAAAATGTGTCAACCAATGACAGACAAGGAATTCCGAGTGGGAAACGGAAGCTGTATGTCAACTGAGCGCTTTCTGGCGCGAAAACAGATTCAATCGTTCACAATAAAATTGCAAAATTAGGAACTTTTCTAAGTGAGTTCTGGGGATTTAACGTCCTCAACAAGTACCATCGTTTAATGTCCAATAGTAGCATGAGCTACATTGTACTGGAATAGTCTTTAGTTTAATCACATCAATTAACTTTAGAAGTATGAGCTGACGTATTATTAAATGAAATAAACACCTATGGTTTGCGTCCGCAACTACTTTCCAATATTGTATCTAAAGCACTTGTGTATTGTCTTAAATCCATTATTTTTCTAAAAACTTAGGTGGAAGCCCCCAATAAAATTGTCTGATTGCTCGTCTGAATACCTCCAAAATTGTCCTGTTGACTACAGTCTTCTGGAAAACCCCTTTAACTCCAAACCAGAAGTGTATGATCCGAAAAAGGAAGCAAAATTATGGCAAGGATTGGGTATATTAACAACTAATACTAGTGAGATCGATAGTGAAAAGCCGCCGAGTGAGGTTAGCTGATTAAACATTTGGTTTTATGAAGTTAATACTGTTTGTGTTAGTATGGACCATTATGGGTGAAAATGGGTAAGACGATATCCTCTGTATCCGATTGTGCCTTCATTCATCGTATAGTATCTGATTAACCTGTTTACTCTACTTCCATGTGATCTAACATTATTACTGACAGGATCAGTAATTGTTCTCTGCTTTATTTGTCAGTACATTACTAGCATTAACGTATTCCGGTTAAAATTCGAGACTAACATTTACTAATTGTGGTTGCGATTTAATAGTTGCAAAACGGTGGCTAGAGAATTTAACCTTCAGTCAATTAGTCACAAGTTCAAACCTCGTAAATACTTCGGTCTGTGTAGCTAGTAGTGTCACCATCCCTCATTAGAAATTGTGGCCCATAGTTGAGCACTTAAACGTGCTTGATAAATGGGCTATATGTGTGTCTATTTGACCTACTCTTCTCTTAGGAGCTATATGTTCAGCAGTTAAAACATTCCTTGAAAAGTAATATTTTTCTTGTTTGGATTTTAAGTTTTTATAAAATTGCATTCTAATTTTGTGTGACGCCTTTGTTGGTTCCTTAATACCTCAAAATAATGAAATTAATACTATTTTTCTTTCTGTAAAGAACCCTTATTACTTAACATCAGTACCTGCTCTCCACAGTAAGCGGGAATTGAAACGAATTCGACGGGTAAGTTCTGACGACCCTTTTTTTAAAGTCTGGTTTTATGTACAAGCATAGGTATTTTAACCTTCTTTAACCCTCGTTTACTGATAAAATTGCTCATGTAGTCATAAATGCTATTCCATGATGATTTATTTTGAAACACAGTTGAATCATAACAAATAAAGGAGTTGAAATGATCTTGGTGACTGAGTAGCGTATGAAAGTTACAGTAACATGAATTGAAATCATCACGTACGACTCTAAGATAATCAGTGAGGATAGTGGCATCAAACCTAGTGCACTAGTCAGTAAAAATGCCTATTGTAGATGAAATGCAATAAGGATATTTACATATATATATATATATATATATATCGACTAAGATTTGAACACCAGGTGGTTAATCATTTATAAACCTAAAACGCATTTACTGAGCAGTACCAGCACTGCACTTTGTATATTTGTGGATTATGATGCTGACGGTAAATCTTGAAACCATGTAGTAATACCAAATTATCATCCTAAAAATCACGTAACCAAGATCCTTAAATTATATCCACATCGCAGTTACAGTACATAATTATGCATACAGAGATTGGATATAATTCACTCCCATCAGTTGTTCGCTGTCAAAAAGTATTTGGGGAGGAGATACGAATTGGAGGTGTTCAAAATAAGCGAAACCTATTAGACCCAAACTGGACAGAAAATAATAGGTTCGGGAGAGATGCTACTGTACTTTGGTCACGAAAAAGAAAATGCTTCTTACACTCGGGGAGTTGCTTTGATGCTATCCAATGGAGCACGTAAAGCACTTATAGGATGAGAATCTCGTAGACTCAGGATCGTCGAAGCATATTTTAAAACAAAGTAGGAGGCAATCACAATGAGTGTTGTCCAACGTTATTCACCCACCAATGATAGCAACGGCAACGAGAGGCTGCAATTTCATAGCGAAGTGCTCAAGAAACGATATGACCATCCTGATAGGTGACCTAAACGCTGAAGTCGAAACGGACAAGACTAGGTATGAAGATATCATGAGACGACATGGACTGACAAGGAGAAAGGAACGAGAATGGTGACAGATTTGCAAATTTGTGTTCATTCAACAAAATGGTTGTGAGCGGCACAATGTTCCACCACAAACACATACATAAAGCTACATGGGTCTCACCGGATCACACTACACAGGACGAAGTCGATCATATTTGCATCACTAAAAAATTCAGAAGGATAATGGAAGACGAAGGTTAAATACACCCTTCCTTCGACATACTGAGAAACTCGGTGAACTCAATATAGCACTTGGGAATAGGTTCCAAGCCTTACAAGATCTACTCAAAGAAGGAGAAACCACTGTGGAGGGCAATCGAAAAGGGATCAATGGAGCACTGACCCCAACATGCTTGGAGGTTTTGAGCCACAAGAATCATCATGGTAAGGAATGAACCTCCATCGAAACCCCGGACAGAACTCAAGAAGGGGAAGAGCAAGAAGACGGCAGTTAACAACGGCCGAACAAAAAAAGTAAAAGTCAAGATACAGGCCAAAACACAAGCAAACGACCAAGTGAATAGGAGTATTAGAGCTGACAATCAGAAATATGTGGAAGAGCTAGCAACGACAGCGGAAAAGCTTCAATAGAAAGAAATATTAAAAAAAACTATGTGACACGACGAAGAAACTGACAAGGAAATATAGTAAACCAGAGAGACCAGTCAAGGATAGAGAAAAAAGCCAATCACTGAAATTCAAGAACGGAAGAACAGATGGGTAGAACACTTTGAGAAAATCTTGAATCGGCTTACTCCATGGAATCCACCGGACATCGAAACAGCACACACAGACTTTCCTATAGGTGTCACTCCACCAACGATCGAGGAAATCAGGATAGCCATCAGACACATGAAGAATGGGAAAGCAACAGGATCTGACAATATACCAGCTGAATCATTGAAGTCAGACATAGAAGCAACCGCAAGCATGTTACACGTTCTATTCAGGAAGATTTGGCAGAAAGAACGAGTGCCAACAGACTGGAAAGAAGTATACCTCATCAGAATACCAAAGAAAGGAGATCTGAGCAAATGTGAGAACCACAGAGGCATCGCAATACTATTGGTATCAGGAAAAGTTTTCAACCGAGTGTTGTTGAACCAGCTGGAAGATTCAGTGGACACTCAACTTTGAGGTCAACAGACTGGGTTCCTTTGGGATGGGTCGTTTACAGACCAAATCGCGACACTACGTATCATTGTGGAACAATCAGTTGAGTGGAACTCGTCACTATACATCAACTTCATTGATTATGAGAAGGCGTTTGACAGCGTGGATGAGGGAACATTATGGAATCTTTCTTGACACTATGGTGTACCTGAGTAAATCGTCAACATAATACGGAATTCATACGACGGACTACACTGTAAAGTGGTGCATAAAGGACAGCTGATAGACCCATTTCAAGTAAGGACCGGAGTCAGACAAGGCTGTTTACTCTCTCCCCTCCTCTTTCTTCTGGTGGTCTAATGGATTATGAAGACCCAGACATCTGGGGAGAAGCATGGAATACGATGGACAGCTAGAATGCAAGTAGACGATTTGTACTTCTCAGACGACTCAGCCCTTCTATCCCATATATACGAGCAAATGCAGATCAAAACAATCAGTGTGGCAGTAAGAACTCTGCATCAGTGGGCCTCAACTGAAGAGGAATTTAGAAAAAGTTGAGGGAGGTGGATAAGACATACATTTTGGAAATCATCAGACAACATCCCGAACTAGGTGCTAACCTGAAATCCTGAAGGGAAACGGTAAAGATGAAGGCCAAAAAAACATGGCGTTGAGGATTGGAAACAGATATGAAAAGGGTGGATAGCAACTGTAAACAACTGGAATGGATTGCGTAGCACAGAGTTCGATGTAGAATGCTTATGCGCGACTGACGTTCCTCCACGAGGGGTCACAGGTGTAAGTGAAGAAGTAAATGTTGGTATGTGGTTCGGTTGTCTTCATAATTGCTTATTTAAAGAAGACACAGTAGGCCTGAAATTTATTGCAATATTTAGATAACGTACGAATTAAGTTACTCTAATTTTCAGGCAAAACGCTAAGTTGTTAATCGTCAGTAAAATGGCCGTTATTTCCATTAAAATAACGTTTTTTATTTGTACGGCGGGAAATCACACCTGTTTTGATTTTCGACTGTAGGCTGAACGCAAAAGCAAACTGTCAAACTGGTTTGATCTGCCGAGAGCTGATATAACAGAAGAAGATCGTGATGATTTAGAATTAATCAGATTACGTCGAGCTATTTCATCAGATACACACGTGAGAAGATCGGATGGGAAATCTGCTTACTTCCAAGTAAATTATTGTAGATTTATGATATTTTGGTATGATCGCTATCTATTTTCAGCTTCTTATTGCTGTCGTATTTTTCTACGGCCAAGTCATATATTTAATAGTTATAAAAATGTATGCAGTTGTTTGTTCAAGGCATTGTTGTATCAACCTTGTATAAATTAGTGTGTTGCGAATTTATCTTTCTCGATCGGATTTATGCAAATCTATTGTCTCTCTCCTACCATGTTAAGTTAACAGGCATATAAAGATTTCAAAAGGAGCATCAATAAATAAATGCCTTATTATTCAACATGTACGTAAAGCTGTACAATATAATATTATCAACGTTCTATTCTCGACCATCAGGTTCTTGGTCTAAATCTCTCTCCATCTACTCGGGTTATGGCAGATAACCATCAGGTCTAGGCTTCACACATAACTCCCGACCCACAAACCTTTATTTGGTTAATGAATTGTATCACTTATTTATTTTATTCCCTTCAGTTTATTGACAGTAGTCGACTCATTTCTAATCATTTTGTCTGTCATCTGTTTTTAAAATTCTGTGTTGAAACTTATTACATCATTGAAGGATCTCTTTTCCAACTATTTTACCGACATTAGAACTTAATAGTTGTTAAGTTTTCGTTACTATCTCGTTTTCTACATAATTTATTATTCTAATTACCTTGTAAGAGACAAATCACCTTATTTTAACTGTTTTCTTTTGGCTTAATAATTTGCTTTAGAGGGGTGTAGTTGTAGATGATCCTGGAAGCTTCTACGATAGACTGCCACGAAAACAAAGAGGGAAAACACTTGTAGATGAGCTTCTAGCTAATGCTGAAATTATGAAGTAAGTTTAGTTTGCTTTTGTGATAGTTGTCGAATAGCTGATTGATAATGTATTGTTTCGTCTGAGGAAGTTACTCATGAATAACTCAAAAAATATTTAGTAATCATTTTTACAATTTACATCTTATTAGCACAAAATTTATATTTCATCACGTATATAATACTGTCGGGGTTTTAGCTTTACTAACTTCTGCTAGGAGCCTTGTCTACCAAGCAGTCAATTGAATATGACAAATATCAGTGCGAGTTCAAATACTTTGTTGTAGTGTTGATGATATAGCTTGTAGCTTTGTGCCCTACGAATATGTAACCTAATGATGCCGCCAATTAGAGAACAGTGACTTGTCGACCGGACTAATGACGCATAAACCCATACGAGCAGTCCAGAGTCCTTATCGGTCCTTCTTCTTCCTGTCTAACACTGCTTGTTAAGTCCAGAACATCAATCTCAGCCTTCGCAATATAAATCATATATTTCAAATATACTGGGTTAATATACAAACCAAACAAACCCAAAGCCCCCAAATGCCCTGGTACGGCCAAGAGTGAGGAAAGTCCACTCTCCCTCTCGAAATGCTCTCACATGGCCACGCGTATATAGCCTCTGTCAGGGAAGTCCCACTCACTGCCTTCTAGTAGTGGGTCAAAGTGTTGTTTGCGAAATTGAGAGGACGAAAAGTGAATGTCAGGCGCTTTCACCGGGTTGGTGGACACGAAAAGTTCACCTATGGGAGTTGGAAAATCCTGATTCCAAACCAATGGTGTACATGGGCTCCAGTATCCTGAGGGAGCAAATGGAGTATGAGTCAATCGTTGGCCACGGGCTACAATGGGACTGCATCTCCTTACGATGCTCCACTGCCTTGTGGATCAGACCTTCAGGTCAAAGGCTCCGGGTGTGGCCCCCTAAGAAAACTACCTGTTTCAGTTCGTGCACCTGTGCAGTATCATAGCCCTCACACAAATCAAATGAGATTTGTATGGCGCATATGTATCTGGTGCTTCATTGTACCAATATTTATGTGTTTAAATAAAATAAAAAACAAACCACATCACACCATAAAATAGAAAATAACATTTGTACGAGTTCTAGCCAAAACTGGCTTTGATTGTAGGAGACTGTAATTAGTAAACTGGGCATAAATAAAGAATTGTAAATCCTACAATAATAGTCTATAAGTCAAAATAAAGCTTATAATAAGAGAATTGTGAACATACATAGTTTAGTTACTTAACAATTATATAATAAAAATATAAGTATAGAATCATACCATAAATAGATCCCAACAGTCACGATTCATTATTCTCGTCGGGATATATCAGTTAAAGTTTACGGGGAATGATTCTTGGTTTTTAGATTTCGTTACTAACCTTTATAAATACAAAAAGAACCTATTTCCTTACATTAGCTACTCTGATTCTTAGTAAATATGTTCCTTTTAACGTACCAGAAATAATTTCACGATGCATAGTGATCTTTCTGGTGGGGAACGTTTGGAAAATACATTTGATGCGAGTTTTGCTATTCTTTATGTTTAGTAACTATTGAATATTTGGAAGTTTTAAAACAATTTTATATAATCTGTAGGCCTATCTGGGACCTTAGAGAGTGAAGTAATCGATTGTTCCTACCGTCTCATCTGCTCGGACAGTTAAAGTCATCATGTTTTACATAGCATCGATACAAGTTCTTGAAACTGATAAATCACCATAGCTACAACTGTACTGTCAAGTTATCCATCTAGCCGCATGTACAATTTTAAAACATCACTGTTACGGTTGAACACCCTAAGTTTTCGGTAGTATATTCTAAAATAAATAATTTAAAGGGTAAATATAAGGTTATAGAGAATACAGTAGATGAGAATGCATTATAATTAAGATACTTCAGTCAAATTTTACGTATAATTTGTGTTATTCTGTTCACCCATTGCTAGAAATAAAAAAAAACAAGGCCTCTCATGTAAGCTACAAAAATATGCTATAAGGTGTGAATAATTATCCCTGTTTACAAACTGATGATACGTTGTTTACTGCCTGAAAACTGTTGCAAAGAGTGCGTTTTTTGTATCTTCTTGATTCGCATCGTTTTTATCCGGAGTATATGACTCAATATTTCTAGTCATATTAGTTAGAGAAGGGTAATGTTTCCCTATTCATTTCCACAATTTTTTTCTAGGGCTCAACGAAAACGATATGCCAAGATTGCACGTACTATGGCTGAAAAACGGGCTGCTATCAAAAGGAAAGAGCAACAACAAATGAAGCGCTTAAAAACTGGCCGTAAAAAACAACAAGCAACAGTTGTTGTTCGTGAATAATTTATTTGTATTAAGCCTACAATTTGTACATATATTTGTGCAGTAAATCGTGTTCAATTGTATTTTTTCGTGTTTTTGGAATCAGGATATTTCAGAACATTTGCAGTTAATAATATTCTCGTAAATAAGAGTACTGAAAGTACTGATTATATCTTTTATGAGTCTAATTTGACTTCAAATTTATTACAATTATTTTACAGTATACTAAGAAATAATGTATAGACTCACATACATAAAAATAAGACTCGCATTTATTGTACAGGGGTGAGCCAAAATATTATTTTAAACATAGAACTGCGTAATTGATAATTTCATACACATAGTTACCTTTATCATTTTGAAAAGAGCAAGAACGAAGATTCTAACAGAATAGCATGAATTCATCTTATTTAGTTGGTTCTCGTCAGCTGCTTAAAACCTGTGATATTTAAAATCATAATTACATAATGGGTTTAAATTACTTACATGAAAGGGTTTAGTTGGAAGTTATATTGAAAACACATTAGTATAATATAACAAGGGTGTCGATAAATTTAATAGACTAAATGTTGTAAATACATTATGTAAAAGAAAATTCTACAACATTGATTGTGACAGCAGTTCAAACGGCCGGAAACAAGTGATTACATAATAAGTAAATGCAGATAGGAATAAAATGAGTAGAGCTCAGCTAATAAAATAAGATTAATAATCTGGAAGATAGTTGAAGGAAGACTCAATGATGTAATAAATACAAAAAAGAGCTGGAAAATTTTTAAGATGCAACGAAGGAATATATATATATATATACAATACTCAGTCTATTATTTTTATATACACCCTTTCTATTCTATACTAATGTGTTATCAATATAACTTCCAACTAAACCCTTTCATGTAAGTAATTTAAACCCATTATGTAATTATGATTTTAAATATCACAGGTTTTAAGCAGCTGACGAGAACCAACTAAATAAGATGAATTCATGCTATTCTGTTAGAATCTTCGTTCTTGCTCTTTCCTAATTGATAATTTGAAATAAACGTAAATAAACGTTCATCAATTAGCAAAATTGATAACTGTATGTTTTCAAGGAGTCATTCCATTTTCGTGGTCTTCTGTGTACTTGAATTCACTGAAACATTCGATTACTTAAGAGCAATTTATATGCCTACTCAGTTGCTTAAGGGGATTTTGAAGACTAAGAAGATAGATTATTCTGTATATATCTTTAGGTAATTCTATATTTGTAAGTTGTGGTGATAATAAGCTAATCGCTCATTAGATACTAATTCCCGTTGGACACGGCTGTCATTTTAGTTGTAGGGTTAGGTAATGAGAATGAAATACCTTGTTTATGAGCAAAATCTATTTTTGATGGTATTTTGACGACTAACCTTTCTAGTCCAACTAGACCCAAGCACTTTAAGTGCTATCGGCAATAATGTGCGCTAAAATATTTTTGTCTAATACATTACGTTCTTGTAATGTGATAGGTAGTAAGCCCGAAGTGCCGTACTGGTGATAACACGTCCTTTGATACAGATGGATCAATATTGACTTTCAAATGTCAATTCAAGGCTTGATTTCTCGGTTGGTGAAAAGTATAAATAAATAACAATTCTGCGGTGAAACTATTGACGCAGGGTTCTATGAACCCCTTAATCTAAATGAAGATTTTCAACAACTTGACGAACACCAATTTTTCTAACCATGATAGATACGTAAATGGTTTCACGTTAGGTTTTATAAACTTCAAGCGAAAATGACATGTTCTTTCCTTTTAAACTTGTGAAGCTGTCCCGTTTTATCCAAGTTATCAGCGGATAATCTAGCGTTAATAGTACAACCAACTACAGTGATCATCATCTTGAATTAGGAATGGTCGATATAATGCTTCAAGTGACATAGTGATTTCAAAATATTAACTACAGTATCTCATTTCTCTGGGTCATTAATAAAATTTAAGCTATGAATTGTATACATGGATCGTTTTTTGAATGAGATTTGGGCAAGAACTAAATATACACTGCCGACCCTTCATTTAATGTGTGTGATATGTCACGTTCCAGCCGTATTTATCCATCTGAAAACTTGTGTTAATTGGCATGCTCTGTTCTATTACCTAATCCAAAGTAACTGTGTATTTAATCATTATCTGTAGTGTAAGTGTATGTCGCTCTCAAATTATCTTGTTCGTATGTGCCCGTATTGAATGTATTATCTCTGTTATTCGCGTCTATCTTGGAAGAAGGTAGAATCAGGTTTGATCTAATTAAATAATGGAAATGCATTTACTGAGCTTTGTTTTAAAAGATATCTGATCAGTTATTCAGTTTGTTTTAAATACATGATCAGATTCACCCTACTACTTTTTTTCACTCAAAGTAATTTCTTCGTATCATCACAAAAAATACTAAAATTTGCCACCAAGCATTTTGACTAGTCCCTATCCTGAAGCCTCTTCAATCTGCTTGAGTTCAATAAACAGGAAATCGTTTCATCAGTCCTCGCATAGCACATACACCACTTTCTAAGGTTTTCTTTGTTATCATCTTTCGGGTTGCATTGGTGATCCGTTTAACTGTGAATGACAAAGAACTTGCGTAACATTTCGAAGAAGTTGTTACACCATTGTTATGGAACTTTGTTTCTACAGTAAATAATGGCAAATATATATATAGTTGGTTTTTGAGGAAATAATAAAGAGCGAAATTAAAGCACAATCGTCTTCTGTTACTGAAAAAGGTGAAAATGTGCAGTGTTAAAATAAGTGAATGAGACTACACAATATAAAATAGCCTTGTGTTAAAATATTGACTATAAAAAACAATTTGATAGTTAATAGCACTTCTCTTCTTCGTACAGATTTTTAATAGTATTTGCAAAATGTTTTCGTAGATTCATCCTTGCAAGTTTCATTGTTGGAGTTAATAATCCATTGTCTACTGTGAACGGTTCTGGCGTTAAGTAGATATTACGGGCCTGTATTTAAAGGTAAAACATTAAAGAATTATATATATATATATATATATATATATATATATTATATATATATATATATATATATATATATATATTATATATATATATATATATATATATATATATATATATATTAGTGGTTTGGGTATTACATTTTTCAGCACAAACATCACTTGTTTTGATTGGCTATTACGTCTCTGTTTAAAACAAAACTTAATGGTTGATAGTTTCATTCAGAAACTGCTACAGAAACTGTTTATATGTGGGACTGTAGCTCACCGCTTGTAAAAAAATAAAGTGAAGATCATTTATCTTAGTATTAGTTTGCGTGAAAATCACACCAGAATCTTTCATCCTATAGTTGTATCTTTGACGTTAAGTCTTTTATGTCCCGACCGTTGCTGCTACCTTGACGTGGTGGTCGGGCTGTCGTGGTGAACCAATCGAGCTACACCATCTGGAACATTCGTTCTTCAATGTCCTATCATGCGAGGCAGATCAGTTGAGGAACGGTAAGATTAAAAAAAACAGTGAAGCAAAGGTTCAAGGGCGAAGTCATACTGCTCACTGTACAGAGGTGTGACAACAGTAAGGTGCATAACAGCGATCTGCCTTCCCACAACGGTAGAATGTGGTTAGAAAAGGTCGACCCTAAAAATGCACACCTCGTCTTGTCCCACGAATTTCCATCCACGATACTAAAGTCTCAACAAATACGGAACTAACACGGAAGCTATTTACAAAAAGGTCGTGTGTGACCGGCCTCAAACAGTTGTCCCTTAGGAATTGCAGTCACGTTTTCAGATCACAAAGACCAACTCAATTTACTTTTCGGGTACCTTTATAAGATATCTTCCACGATGTGGCCAACCGGGACGTGATAACTGCTCTAGTACCTCCAACAGCACTCAAGACCACTGTATTCATGTTCAGTCTCCCTCTTCAACTCCGATTATTACTCCTACCTAGACAATTTCACTTATATTGCAAGTCTGATCAGCCCTAATGGGTTGGTGTCTGACGAAATCTCAAAACGGATTCAAAAGGCTCGTATGGTCTTTGCCAACTTACGTCACCTATGGCGAAGACGAGATATCCGTCTATCAATTAAGGGACGAGTATACTGCGCAGCAGTTCGTTCTGTTCTATTTTACGGCTGTGAAACATGGCCATTAAGAGTAGAAGCTACTCGTAAGTTACTAGTATTTGACCACAGAAATATTGCTCGGATCACCGGGTAAGTAATAGTAAGGTTAGACACAGGGTATTAGAGAATGGTGGTAAATCAGTTGATGAGGTCATGAATCTTCATCGACTGAGATGGTTAGGCCACGTGTTACGTATGCCTGAACACCGATTACCACGACGCGCTATGCTGACTAGTATATGGGATGATTGGAAGAAAGTTGGGTGCGGCCAAACCAAAACGTGGCATCAGTGCCTGAAGTCACCAACTTCTAGCCTGAGCTATGTTGGTAGATGCAGACTACCTGGTTGGGGTCCGCGTGACTATCGTAACCAATGGTTGAAGACTCTGGGTGACATGGCTCAGAATCGATCACAATGGCGTAGGTGTATACACTCTTTGTCTTTCCTTAGTCTCCGAGATTAAAGTTATTTTATATCTCTCTACGAATTAGTTCTTTCTCTTTGTATCTCAACCTTATACGCAATCTTTTTATTGTATATATTACTACTATTGAAGTAACTGCTTCGATGAATTCATTGTTCATCTTGTTGTGCTAATGAGGTGTGGCAACTGGGACCGATACATATATGTGCCTTGTTCTACGTTGTAGTTGAATGAAGAAGTCGTTCATTTATCTCTCAGTAATCATAGACTAGCAAACAAAACATTAACATCAGCATTCACTTGTATCTCTCCTATAGTCTTTGATTTAAAATGCTCATTGAAGATAAAATTAGCAATTACACAAACGTAAGATATCACAGTACATATATTGTTAGTGTTTGGTAACCAAGTACCATATATAATTCCGATTAATGCAGATATATGAAATATTTTCATGTTACAAATCATAAGAATATGTATTGGAATGATCTTAATAATTTAACCAGTGATATCTACTGCTGTAATGAACGAGAACTTGGATAGAGTCATCCAATCTACAAAATAAAAGAATTCTTTCATCAATACTTCGTTTGTAAATCCTCCACCAATTGTCTCGAACTTCATAGTTCCTTCATCGTCATAATAATTGCTTTCCCTTCCTATTCTCTTAGATTCGGTCTTCCCAACCTTCCGATGCCAGGCATCCCACTTCTGATTGGTGTTAGATACTACTTAAGTCGACAGAAGCAGCATACACTATTAATAAGCCTTTTTCTGTAAATAGAATATTCAATTATTTCCTAAAACATGTTATGCCACTACAAATTATTTAAATCTTTGTTTTACAAAGATTAGAAAATTCCAGGTAAAGCAACAAGCGTATTATACTATCACCAACATTTCCTTTGTCTATGTATGTATAATTTTAAAAGGAAGAATCTATTGTTGTAAACTAGACTAACCAGTTCAAATCCTTTTAGACCTTTTTCTCTAGCAATTGAGTTCATTTTCTCCAAGACAAATTCACGTATTTCTTTTCTGGTGCATAATTCAGCGTTAGTTATTTCCTCCAGTGATTCTCCATCCTTCATGTTCTCACACTTTTTTTCAATAGGTAATGAAATTGTCTTTGGTAATTTACGAATAATATCTACTGCTTCCTTGCGCAATCTTTTAAAGTTCGGTTTAACCACTGCTACTGCATAAGATTTAAGCGAATGACCTTCAACATACACATATTGTATTAGATCACAGAATAAGTAGGTTTGTTCTACTTTCTCTGGTGCTACATATTCTCCTTGTGATAATTTAAATAGATTTTTCGTTCGATCCACAATTTTTAATGCTCCATTCTATGAGAAACAGGAAATAAATTTGTAATAAAGAAGGTACAGAAATTGTATCAGGATTCTGAAAATCAGATTTAAAAAGCTTTTGGGAATAAATAATAGATTGACATATTTAAATACAGTCTTGACAATTTACTAAATGGTTAGTAAAATATTTACAAACAGTAGGTAATTTACACCTAGAAAGATACAACCTATCATATTCCTATCTAGAAACTTGGAAAATACCATGTTTAGTACAACAATCAATATCTCAACCTAGATTTCGTATTAAGCATTGGTGAAGAGTCTTATAAAAATACTAGAAAACTATATATTATTCTTCAATCTACTGCCAATTATCTCACTAGAATTTTATGCTGAAATGATATGCACAATTTATCCTTATCAGTTAGTCACAACGTAGGACTTCGTACTTACGTACATCAGTTGGAGTTGCCATACCACATTAGCACAGAGGTGCAGCTGTCGATTGAAATCCCATAGTGGTAGAAGTAGTAAGAGTATAAGCAGTAGGTGGAAATATTAGGGTTTGAATATGTTATTCAAGTAGTATAATCCAGTGTAATAAATTTGAAAAGAGGAAAATGATAGAGACATGAAGAATTCAGAAGATTAGAATTTTGCAGAACACAAAGAGTGGATGCACCTTCACTATTGCAAACGATTTTGAGCCATGTCATTCAAGGTCTCTAACCATCGATCGCTGTCATCTCGCGAATCCCAACCAGATAGTCTACACCTACCAACATGGCCCAGTCCACTTATCAGTGACTTCATGGATTTTTGCCACTTTTTGATCTGGTCACTTTTGATCTTCCAACCTACTCCTACATCATAAAACATGGCACGTCGGGGCAGTCGGTGGTTGGGCAAGCGTAATACGTGCCCCAATCATCTCAACTGATGAAGTTTCACTACTTCATTCCTATCATTAGTTCAGGCGCCGATGCAACCCAATCCTGCAGTAACACATTGCACTTCGAGGGGGAGAATCGCATCCCGAACATGCCTGCACAGTTGCTTATAGTGGTCAGAAGACTCTGTATTTCGTCAGCGTCATCACCAAATAGAACTGTGTTATCTGCGTATTCCAAGTCAACAAGTGAGTCCCTCGGTAAAAGTTCAACTTCTGGAGATTTAGATGATGAAAGTGTTATCTCTAAAAGCATGTCAGCGACAAAGCTAAACAAGAATGAGGAGAGTGGACAGCCCTGATGAACATTATACTAAATAAATGACTTCTAGCATCATAGTTTTCATCAAAAGGCTAACAAAAAGTACACGGATCCTTACAGTTATCTAAAAAATGTTGGTTAAAATAATTAATCGACTAACTAATACCTATAAAATAAATTTTGCCTTACATTAATGGATCGAACAAATATTGCTTAAAGTGAATGGACCATGTATATGTAAATATAATAGCCCTGTTATTCATGTGATTAGGTTTCCCAATTCTTTAATTAGTTTTTATAGCTGGTGAATAATAATTGTGTAGATAATAGAGAATATTTGTGGCTCAGGGTGAGGCTGTTGGAGAAGTTGAACTCTCTTAGCTTAGAGAACTCAATAACTCCAATAAGTGTTCAAGATACGTCTGCTGTTTGTGTAATGAAAGCTATCATTTTTACTGATGGATATATATATATGAGTTTTATGTGAAGGTATAAAACAACAGAAATTTATTTACAATCAATCAATTATTGTCAAACTATTCGTTCTAACAATTAATCATTGTTCTTTAAACTAACCATATTTATCACAGTTAGACTTTGATAAATAAACGCTCAGGAAAAACGTTGAACTGAAGTAATGCTGTTGTCAAGAGACAGTCGAAATCGAATTCTCTAAAATTTACCAATTCACTTTTATTTTAACATTTATGCATGTAGTAAGCTTAGAATGTTATGATCATTAAGAACAAAGTTTCAAATTGACATCACGCTAATATTTATTGGATATTCTCGACCATAGAATTTTTTAATTTAAAGCATTCTGTCAATGAATTATTTGTGTATGTATTGGTTGGGAGTTTGAACGCAATGATAAAGTATCAGTGTGTAAAAGTATTAGGAATGATAAAAAATCTCTAGGTTAACACGTTTTCTAAATCTTGAAACATGTGAAATATATTTGATTTTAGAAGAATACAAACACAAATATAGGTGACTCTCAACCGTTCACAGTTTCCATACTTAATTTTTATGTAGTTTATTAAAATAATTGAAGATGAAGATATGCGTTTAATTATGTCTTAGACCAATGACTTTCCGATAAAACAACTACTGATTTAATTATCTGATACTTTGGAATTATTATTGCCTTTAATTAAAAAGAGCTTACTTCTAACCAAACTCCAACATCTCCTGTGTGAACAAAGCCCTCTGAATCAAGGACTTCTTCCGTTTTTTCTTGATTTTTATAATAACCAAGCATATTACATTTACTACGAATGCATATCTGAAGCGAAAAAGTAAGAAGTTTTATGTATAATGATGTATATGTTTATAAGTTCACCTCAGTAGGAGTAATTACAAGGTTACAAAAAAGTTTTATTACAGTTCATAAAATCCTGTGTATCACACAATTACAACCCTATTTATGTAATTTTATCAAGATGACAAGTGGGTTATATTTAGAGATTTTATTGACTTATTTTTGTTTCAATTTTTTTCTACTTTAGGTCACACAAAGCTCTTTTTAAGTATTCTTCAAAATTGAATGAATATTTTGCTTCTTCATGGTAAGTGAGGTGTCACCGAAAAAGTATTAAAATTCTCGACTTAAATGTTTCTCTTTTGATAGGCAGTAAACATTAATGTTAAACAGAATTTAACAAAGCAGACACCCTGAGTATTTTTTTACCATAACTTCAACCTAAATAATGATGTAGTCAAATATAACATAATTACTTTTCCAGAAATAATTTATGTTTCACTTAGGTCAAATTTTCAGTGGTTGTGGATAGCTTAAGCAACGTAACCGTTTTACATACACTATAATATTTAGCCCGTGTCTCCATGCTTTATCACATAATGCGGATCATTAGTTATGTTAGAAAATAAATTTGTTGTGGATAAACTACACATCATCGCTCTGAGTTGAAAACTACACATTATTTATACTCACAACACATTTCATTATTGTCTTAACTAATACTTTGCCGTTTTTTATTTATAAGAGTATACGATATTAAGATCCTATTGCAACCTAGGATGCATTTGACAGTAATACTCAGACCGTTTACTAAAGGATCTTTAGTTCATATCAACAACTAGTTTTTGTAGGATGCAGAAATATTACTGATATTTGTGATCTCAAAAGTAAGCATTAATTATTTATTTTCAATGATAATAAATGAATAACTAAACCAAGTAAGGAAGTTGAACTTATGACTTTTACTTGATAGTTTTAAACAAAATAATCATAAATTATAAAATTTCATTTCATATTTCTTAAAATAGCAATCTATTAAAATTATAAACAAAACTAACCTGTAATTAGTTTGAAACTATTACAATTGGCGGTTATTAATTAGCATACAAAAAGCCTTAATGAAATATAACAGAAAGTTACCTCTCCCATTTGATCCTTGGATACGAATATACCCATTTCCGGAACATCTATTAGTTTAATTTGTACGCCAGGGAAAATAGCTCCAACATGATGAGCATCGACATCTTCAAACATTGTACTGGATACTAAACCAAGTGTTTCTGTTGATCCATATATTTCAATAACCTAGCAAATGTTTAAATATTGCTATAAGAATGGTAAAGAATGCCATTAATCGTTAGAGAAATGATATTCATATGGTTTTGTATATACCGCATTAATACATGTTTGTATTCCTGTATAAAATAGTACCACCCTCATAGTTGGAAACTTTTAATAACATTAATGATACAATTGGAATGTAAAGGATCTCCAGAATCGTTAAATTATATTCATACAGTATTCACCAATGATCTTAAATTGTGCATATTTTCATAAAGTACTGACTGAAGTTTACTTCAGGTATCGGTATTGCGTGTTTTGGTTAGTTTATTATCAAGGGACAATAGTTTCCACTCGGGTAGAATTCCGAGTCTACAAAATCACAATTAAGAAGAAATACTAGCAAAATGACCATACTGATGTTGGTTCTAAACAGGATTATTTAACAATATCCTTAACTATTTTGGACTTTTCAGTTGTATGTACCTAGTGTTGGGGCGATCTTGAATATTTCTCACAATGGACAAGAAAGGTTCAGGAAACATTAATAAGCATTTTATCTAATTGGCGTTCGGCTAGAAGTTTTGCTAGAAACATCACGAAAGTGAAATGTCACATATAGAGTTTCTGATTGGCTGATTACTACACTGCTACTGTGTTTAGTAGCATTCCAGAATTTTCAGGAAAACCCAAGGACTTTTGAAATACTATAAAAACCCTATATTTTCTGTACATAAAGGACCCTTTGGAGTAAAGTGCTTCTCACATATTTTTCGCCTTTTCTATCGTGTTCAGGTTGCTGTGTAGTTTTAGCTTGGGGGTTACGAGATTAGCTTAGAACCCGAGTATAACGTTCAGATAGCAAGACTTATCACCTAGAACTTTGTGAGTTCTGTCTTTTTATTAGTCTACATCTATATCATCTTTAGTTTGAGTCCTGGACTAGTGATAGAATTAGTTACACAAATTTTTAATAAAATAACTAATACTTTTGGTTTAAGATCTTAGAAACTGAAGAGAATTTATGAAATAAATGAATCCAAATCATTCTGTTATGACTCTCATTAACAGTTGTCAAACGGTTAATTTACTAAATGGATTCGATTCATCGTAAATATAATCTTACAAAATATTTTGTCGGATTCTTATTGATTTGAGCAATTATTACAACATAGTCTCTTGATTTGCACATGCTGACCGGTCTTTGGTTTTAATTAAACAATGCAAATTCTCAGTACTAGTTATAATGAGTGTTGGTTCTGTGTGTACAAGTAAATCAAAAACGAATTCTTATACGAATGATATTTAAAATAGACTTACAGGACAGCTCAAAACACCTCTAATGAAGAAAAGAACATCTCTGTCTATTGGAGAGCTACCTGAAATAATAGCTGTTACTCGACCACCCAGTAGTTCCCGAAATTCTCGAAAAAACAGGAAATCTATTATTCCATTCCTTCGATATATTCCACTACAACAAATAATTATTATAAAAGTAATTTTATTTTAAACTTGAGAAATATTCACGACAAAAGGTCATTTTAACTGAAACAAATAGAAAACTAAATTAAACATTCATTTTTCAATTTCTTTTGTTTAGTTAGAGGGACAAACACAAAAAGGATAACTTTCACACATATCAATATATGTATTTATATTAGTTACCCTTTTTGGAGCTTTCCATAACTACTTACTGCTTCTGTTCTTCTATTCTCTTGTTTATTTCGTATCGACATATTTTCCAAATTATTGGCTTAGAATGAATCTTTTTGGAAAAACTCATATATACTCGGACAAGCAATCTTGGAACAGAGCAGAAAAACGTTGGCTTAAAATCTCTAAGATCATCAAATAATGACTCAATACCATCAGTGAGAAAACCGATTCGACCACCAGAATATATGGCCCATATCTAATTGAAAGAACAGACAATGAAATGAAACTTAGTACCAATTTACTTGTGAGATTAAGTCACTTAAAATAAAGTTAAACAGTTAAAAACAAGTCAATAGTAGTTCTTTTAAAAAAATATCACTGCCGGAGGACGAAGAATATTAATTTGTAAGGAAAATACCTCGAATAGGAAGCAGATTTCATTATGGATAATTTGTCATTGATATATATATCATTTACGCAAGCTGTGTAACCGTATCTATAATGATTTAACAAGTGAAATAGTTTATTAAAGACAGAATGAGAATTATATAATCTAAAGCGTCGAAATGGCGTCACGTAAAGCTCAAGAATTTAAAAAAATAATGAGATGAAGTTGGCTGTGCGAAAGACAAATTGTTCTTGAAGAGAGCAAGAACGAAGATTGGTGACGCATCAATCTTCTTCAAGTTAATAATGGGAACTATGTGTAACAAATTGTTCTCTTGACGAGTGAGATAAGTGTTACAGTCATGGTAAAATGAAAGTTTATACATGTTGCTTTTTAACACAGAGCTCTGGTTTGAAACGATCAATTTTTTTTGCAAAGGGTTCGTTAGTCGTTTTTTCAAAGTTTCTGCTGGAGTATCTTCCTTGGACTCAATTTAATTTGAACTGTAGTTGATCTTTCAGATTGGATTTGGTTCCAAGGTTCTTTCAGAGAAACTGAACAGATAGTTTTTCTGTGACTATTTTCGGAGCTTGATTAGATCCTCGTCTATTGTGTATTCGGAGCATAATTTTTTAGCTCTTTGTGAGAAATATTGAATTGAATTTCCCTTGCTATTTAATGAGACGCCTATACCACGCTCGCTTTATTTCGAAAAAGTACTTTTCAGCGATGAAGACGTGCCAAAAGAATTAAATGACTGAAGAGCAATGCTGTTTGCTTATTGAAATACAATAGGTATTTTATTGATAATTTGAAAGCAAGTTACTTGATACTTGCAATTAAAAATTCACCAGTCATGAACACTGAATGCTAGCTTGAAAGGCGAACTCCAATAAAATCACCATACGTTATAAACTTTGGTATTAGGTTCACTTTTAAATGACTTACAATATCATATAACCAATTGGCAGGTAAAGATATGTTCAGGATAAATGTTGAGTGGAATGAACCCCACTTTCTACCACTTTTTCATGGAATACTGAACAATTAAATAGTAATCAGTGAGACCGCTAGTATAAGTAATTAAAAATTATAGTCCAGTCCGGTCCTACGCCCGGATAAAGGAGGGTTGGTGATGAGGTAAGCGAACTCGGTAGAAAATGACCATACTTAGAAAACGCTAACCAGTATAAACAGTTTAAACCATTAAAGCTTTACCCTGAGAGTTGAAAGGTCCCCATTCAGAAGAATTATGACGCCTTATGGTGAAGGCCGAAACGTTTCGGTAGTCAAGAGCTTGATTTTCCTTCTGACAACTAGAGCAACAATTAATATAGGTAAATGGAATGTCCGAATAAGGTGCGAGACATGGAAGGCTAGTCAAATAGTTAGGGAAATGAGGAAATATAACTTGAAGGTGCATGAAATAAGTGAAACCCAATGAACCCAAACTGGACAGAAGAGATTAGGTTCGGAGATGCGCTGTTGTAATCTGTTCATCAAAAGAAAATGCCTCCCACACACAAAGAGTTGCAACAATGCTGTCCAAAGATGTACGAGTAACACTTATAGGATAGTAATATCATGGATCCAGGATTGTCAAAGCATCCTTCAAAACAAAGGAGGGGATCACAATGAATGTTATCTAGTATTACTCCCCCACCAACGTTAGCGACTTGGACGATAAATTTCGGTCTCATGAGAGATTGTAGTCTATAGTAAAGAAGTGCCCAGTAAAGGACATTGTAGTGGCCTAGTTTCGAGATAATTCTTAAGAATTCTTATGTCAGTCACCCTGATAACTGTTATTCAAGAGATCACAACAGTATATGAATTAAGAAGGTAACATGAAGCGCCGACTGCACTTTATTATTGGATAGCGCAGATAACAAAGCTATAAACACACTAGGTCAACTTCAGCAGGAAAGCTAATATGCTAAAGCAAGCCAATGTAGAGGCGAATTCAGACTTGAATCAATTAGTAAGATTCAAGCTTATATATATTTTGGGAAGATAATGACTCATCGAGAGATATATTTAAGCAACTAACATTTAAACTAGAGAGAGGAATATGTGCGTAGGCTGTCATATGTGACGAAGCACACATGTCCATACAGACATGATAGTAATCATAATGATACGAACACTGAAAGATTGTTACTGTTTGAATGACTCTGTTAAATAAGTTAATTGAAGGGCTTTGAAAAATTAACCGTAAACAAATGTAATTGTAGGAGAGGTACAATAACATGACCACCCTGATGGAATACCTAAACTCCGAATTCGAAATGGAAAACACTAGGTACGAAAATATCATGAGACGACATGAACTGACAAGGAGAAACGAACGAGAATGGTGACAGATTTGCAAATTTATGGTTATGGGCGGCACAATATTCTCCCACAAACACATACACAAAGCTACGTGGGTCTGACTGGATCACACTACACAGAACGAAGTCGATCATATCTGCATCACTAAAAAATTGAGAAGGATAATGGAAGACGCGAGAATCAGGAGAGGAACTGACATAGCTTCGGATCACCACTAGCTGGTGGTTGCCAAGATGAAGCTGAAGCTAAAGAAGCAGTGAACACTTGGAGGAACAGCGGTCTGCTTGAATAACTGGGCTCCTAGTTCCTGCCAAACAAGCAGTTGCCAACGTCCGAGCTGTCGATACCCCGTTGAAAGCGGCATGAAGTGCGATGAGTGCAAAGGCTAGTGCCATGAATTTGACGCCTGCGGCTTTTAGAAGGTTCAGTTTAAATGATTGCGTACGGCTTTGTCAGTAGTGCTGCTTGGACGCAAACAGCTTGTTAACTAAAACCATTTCAATGGTAAATGCTGCCAAAAAGTGTATTAGCAAACGGGGTCCGGACACGTCGAACAGTACTCACTCTGTCGATACACAAGTTGATGTGAAGCCACCTCAAATAATTTCGGTAACAACTGACTGACATCTCTCAAAGGAGGGAAGAGCGACTTCAACGGGGTCTGTCTTAAATAAAAACCCAAGAAAGGAACTTTCCTCCGTCCCCTAAATAGTAGTCGGCAGGAAACACCTGAGAGTTGAAATCGCAAAGCTAGATCCGTTTCTAGCAGGAAACAGAATCCAACTGCCCAAGTTGTCCATAACCTTCCTGAATCACACAGTATGTTTGACGCGACTGTAGTTGCTACCTCAACGAAAGTTGATGAATGTGTTTAAGTCGTAAACAAAAAACAACATAAAGATATGAGAGAAAATGCAACACCTCAAAAAGTAGTTGAGAAGTTAAAGACTGATCACTGTGGCAGGTCGATTATTTTTTATAGAATCAAGGAGAGTGAAAGCTCTGAACCCAAAACTCGTTTTGAACATGACATTGGGTTGATAAAGCAGCTACTTAATCATCTTATACCACAATATATTTCCGGTGTCGCTTTGCTAAAGGTGTATAGACTGGGTAGTCAAGAGAACATAAAACCTGATCAAACCAGGTTACTTAAAGTAGTATTAAAATCACCTAATGAACTGGACATAATTCCGCAGAATGGACATAAACTAAAGGGATCAAGAGTTTCTGTACACAAGGATTTGTGCTCAAGGACCGTGTAAAAAGATGAGAAGCAGAAAAAGAACTACAACTTAGTCTAGGCGCTGGAGGAAATGACCTAAAAATTGTAAATTTTCGGGTTATGAGGCTTCGACAGAATATAACGCCGAAGTCACTATGGGTGCAGCACGAAGCTATTTAAATAGGTTTCGGATCTGTTACACTAACGCCTGAAGCTTGCTCAATAAGCGGTCGTAACTAGGTGTACAGATTGACTCTACAAAACCAGATATAATCGCAGTCACAGAAACCTGGCTGGCACATCCTATAGATAGTATGAAACTTGATTTTAAGGGTTTCACGTTGGTAAGAGCAGACAGAATCCAGAAGCTTAAAGGAGGGAAAGTAGCTCTATTCATTAGGAATACTATCCCATTTGCCATTATCGACAGTGTATCTCATGCGAGTGGGACGTGTGAATTAGTTAGTTGCCGCTTGAAATGCAAGGGAGAAGAGCTGCTGACTGTTTCGGTCTACCACAATCCAAGCTGTGAGGTAGACGAGGTCTTGCTAAACAGTCTCAATACTTGGTCACAAAGTGGTCGATGTCTAACTCTAGGAGACTTCAATGCACAGTAGATTTGAAAAATCTGAGAACTGAATTGTCAGAAAATTTCTTAGAGCAGGAACTAGTTGATGCGGTTATCGCATGTGCCCTATTATAACATGTGAAAGAAGCGAGTAGGTACGACCCAGACTCTGAATCATCCTTAATAGATCTCATATTGACCTATTATGAGGATGACGTCACGGACCTTGACCACATGCGACTCCTAGGTAAAAGTGATCATGCAGTTTTAACTTTTGGCTTCCATATAGCCATCAAAAACGAATGCGCATCAGCTCAGCCCAGACCTAACGTCTGGAAAGCTAATATACAAGATATTATACACTCAACATCGTCAGTAAATTGGACAATAGAGCCAGAGTCCCCAATTAAAAAAGCTTGGTACTTATTTCTAAATTTATATTTAGAAGTTACTGCACTCCACATCCCTTGGACTAGGCCAAGGGGTCCGAGAAACTATCCACCATCGTTCGGTAGGGAGGTTAGCACCCTTCTCCGTAAGAGGAGGATATGGGAAAGATTTAGGGTACTGGGTACTGATGAGACAAAATCTCAACATTGAGAAGCTCGAAATACTTGAGCCCCAACTCTCCGTAAGTCTAGGGGTTTTAAGTAGAAAAAAATTAAGGAATCTATAGAATGTAATCGTATATAAACCAAAGGACTAAAAGAAGAGGTAATATTCCAGCACTATGGGAAGACAGTCATGCTTCATCATTAGTGGAGGATGACTTTGGTAAAGCTCAAGTATTCTCAAAGTACTTTAGCAATGTATATATCGTAGAAAACCGTTCCTGACAGTCCATACAAATCCCCCAACACACACTGGACAACGTGATCATTAAAGAACTTAATGTCTTTGGTCCGGTAAATAAGCTTGATATAGGCAAATCTACGGGACCCGATGAACTGTATCCTAGGTTACCAAAGGAATTACCTAACTTTGTTGCAAGCTTTAGTCTATCCGTAACCCAGGGTAGTTTACCAAAAGACTGGAAGAACGCCATAGTAGGTCCTGTCTTATAAACAGGTACGAAACCTAAACTTGAGAATTACCGACCCGTTAGCCTAACTAGTGCCGTTTTTAAAATTTTAGAAAAAAATTATTCCGAAGGAGCTATTTAAATATCTCGATGAAAACCGGATCCGCTGTCTCATAACCTATTTAGGTACGTTTGTGAAGAGTTTACGACATTTCGCTGTATAAGTTACAAAAGAACTCAATCAGAAACGTTGTGGTTGCTGGCAATATGCATCGAAAAGAATACATATTATTCACATGTCGATTCCTGAACTGCTAACATCTAACTGGCGATGGGTAGGACACTTTGAGGAACTCTTGAATCGGCTTACTCCATGGAATCCAACGGACATCGAAACAGCACACACAGACTTTCCTATAGTTGTCACTCCACCAACGATCGAGGAAATCAGGATAGCCATCAGACACATGAAGAATGGGAAAGCAACAGGATCTGACAATATACCAGCTGAATCATTGAAGTCAGACATAGAAGCAACCGCAAGCATGTTACACGTTCTATTCAGGAAGATTTGGCAGAAAGAACGAGTGCCAACAGACTGGAAAGAAGTATACCTCATCAGAATACCAAAGAAAGGAGATCTGAGCAAATGTGAGAACCACAGAGGCATCGCAATACTATTGGTATCAGGAAAAGTTTTCAACCGAGTGTTGTTGAACCAGCTGGAAGATTCAGTGGACACTCAACTTTGAGGTCAACAGACTGGGTTCCTTTGGGATGGGTCGTTTACAGACCAAATCGCGACACTACGTATCATTGTGGAACAATCAGTTGAGTGGAACTCGTCACTATACATCAACTTCATTGATTATGAGAAGGCGTTTGACAGCGTGGATGAGGGAACATTATGGAATCTTCTTTGACTTAGACATCTGGGCAGAAGCACGGAATACGATGGACAGCTAGAATGCAAGTAGACGATTTGTACTTCTCAGACGACTCAGCCCTTCTATCCCATATATACGAGCAAATGCAGGTCAAGACGATCAGTGTGGCAGTAAGCCCTATTCATCAGCGAGCCTCAATATACACAAGGGACAAAGCAAGATCCTTAAATACATCATGGAGAACACCGCTCTAATCACATTTGATGGAGAAGTTCTGAAAGAGGTAGAAACTTTTATATATCTGGACAGCATCGTTGATGGACAAGGAGGATCTGATGCAGACGTAAAATCAGAAATTGACTAAACAAGGACAGCATTCATACAGTTAAACCAATGTTTAGAACTCAAAACAACTATCAATCAACATGAAAATCAGAATCTTCAATACGAACGTGAAGACGGTTGTACTGTATGAAGCTGAAACTTGGAGAACTGTCACCATCATCATCAAGGAATTACAAGTATTTATAAACAATTGTCTACACGAAATACTGAATGACCTTTGACCGGATACCATCAGCAACAGCCTACTGTTGGAGAGAACAAACCCGCTTCCAACAGAAGAGGAAATTAGGAGAAAACGATGGAGGTGGATAGGACATATATTGTGGAAACCATCAGAGAACATCCCGAGCTAGGTGCTAACTTGGGATCCTGAAGGGAAAAGGAGAAGCGGGAGACCAAAGCACACATTACGTTGGAAATGAGAAGCGAACATCGAAAGACTGATTACCACTCGATGAGAACTATAAGAGAGAGTCAAGGACATACTTATTTGCAGAATGCTGGTGGGCGGTCCATGCTTCCTTTCCGAGAAGGATAACAGGTGTTAGTGAATTGATTTGAATATTTTATGTTAAATTTTTAGGGTGAATATATAAGATGATGTGATATTATTTGCTATCCTTCTCCGTATACGTTTAAAACAGTCCATTTGGTTTGAGTAATGAATAGTAGCTTAAATTAGACGGGAAGTTTATGGCTAGTTAATTTGCGTAGAAACTTTTTGAACATAAAATGCTCCATGAATAGATTTCAGAGCCTGGACGATTTGGAAAAATCAAAAACATTGAACCCTAATGTAAACACTTTTCTGTAATTCGCTTTTAACCAAATTTAACAGTTTTATAAATGGATATAATTATACTTAATAGTGTTATCTGTGAAACATAATTAATCAGTTAAATTCCTTTCATGTGAATACAAATTATTTATTAATAACTTGCCATTGTTAGCTGTTCCATAGTATGTGATAAAGGTAGGAATGAAACATGTGACAAATCTTCAGTTGAAAAATGCTGAAACAAAATAAAATATAAACGTAAAAAAAGTGCCAATAATCAAGAACTCCATCATATTCGTCTTGTACAAGACTTGACAGAGCTTTATAATGTTTACTGGTTATTTTCATACTCAATAAGTTTCCTATTGTTAGGAAAACCCCAGGATAAATAAAATAAAATCTGCTAAATTCAATCTCTATTTTTAAGAAATACAGAAAATCGTTATTGTCCGTATCACGAGCAAATAACTTTCTCGGTCGCCTAAATAGAAAATGAAAAGCATTCGAGCATCTTTTTGTTGCATAAAAAATGCAATATGTAGACAGTGAATTATAAAGTCATATGAACATCTCTTATTCTGGATCCAAGATGACTATATTACTAGGTTATATTTTGTACATAATATCTAATCTACATCTAATATTTTATGTTTCACTAGTAATTTTTAGTAAATACACAACATGGTTAAACAATGATTGATACTTTATTAGGCTGCTCACCCTAGAAATAGCAATTCACTCACAAATAATCAATTAGTCGTATAGGAAAGTAATAGTCATTTTATATAAAGTATTAGATGATGAAATACTAAGTAGTGTAGTGGTGAACTAATATGGGAAACATTTTGCTATTCGAGTAAATATGGAATTAACCTAAGTTATACGATATTATTTAGGTAATCTTGTTCCCATTCCATTCTTTACGTTCAATTTCAACAAATATTGGAACTATAAGTGATTGGTGCTGTTTTAGCTGTTTTCTACGGTTTAAGGAAATTAAGTGCGTACTTTTGAGAAGTCTTATACTAGAACGAAACGGCCGTCCAGTGCTTCCAGGTTTTAAGTGGTGGTCCAACATTGATCTATTCATGATACCAATTTGAACTCAACAATCTCCACAGCTGTATACCGATAATTAAATAATAGTCAATGCATTATAAATCCCGTCCTTAAAAAAACGTTATTTACTTTAAGAAGATAAGCGCTAACAAGATTTCATACATCTTGTAAATCCACCAGTCATAGATAAAAGCGATGGTAAAGGATTTTATCTTCTAGGAATTCGCTATTTCAAGTTACTGGTTGCTCATACAAAGGTTAGTTGATTAGTTCAGCTAACTATATCGTATTCGTTCTGAAAACGTTTGAAGCCCTCAAGGTTTAGGTAATGGAGCAGTTAGTTTCCTTTGAATGAGGGAAATATTAATTAAAGAAGACAAAGATGTTAACCTTATTTACAGCCGTTCTGGTGAAATACTTAAAGAAACTTCATAAAATTATAAGTGGTCTACTTGGAGAGAAAAGGTTAAATATCATAGCTTATCTATCTACACCATTAGCAAACATTTCAAAATGATTGTTCCGATAAAATGATTTCATGCAAATAAAAGCATGAAAACAGGTCAAAAGTTCATAAATACAAATACAGAATAATTTCATTGCAAATTATTGATAATTTTTGATGGAAAACTAATATAATTATTGTCTGTTAAGACACGTCTCATTTGAATCAGTAGGGAAAAACAACCAAATTAAACAGAAAATAGTCGTTCAAATAAACGAATCTATTTTTGGTAAGAAGGTTAAATTGGTCCATTTAAAGAATAGTGGATTTCTGCATATGAAACTTCTACTAACAATACAAAATACTTTGATTTTTCTCCTAGGAAAAACGTATATTTCAGTAGTTTTGTTGTAACGTATGAAAACTTAAGCGAATTACGTAAAACTTCTTACGTATCATCAATTTTTACAACTAAATAATGATATGTAAGAAACTCACACAATAGTCATTTATGAAAACTTTTTAAAAATAATGGGTAAAAACCTTGTTCTACAGCTTACAAAATATAATTACATGAGATTCATTAATTAGTCATTAGATAAATAAAACAAATATTTCTGATCGTTTGAAAATTTCCTTTAGGTACTTATTCTTTTGCTCTCATTTAAATCTCTAATTAAACTGTCTGAAACATTTTCGATTATCTTATTCTTTAATATATGCAGTGAGGACGATTGAAGTTAAGAGAAAATCTATGTAAATTTAAATTTGAATTTATTTCCTCGGGTTTCTGTAAATTCAGTTAACAAATGTGAATGATAATCAGATGTCATTCTAACCTCAATTACTAAATATTTCGGTCCTCTGTCATGTGAATAAAAAGTTTCTAACCAGCTGTACTACATAATGCTAGTTGGCAAGTAGACGTTTTGTTTATTTTAATGTAAAATAACAATGATCAGAAGTAATTTCAGTTTTACTTCCATCCAAACTCAAGAATTTACGAAGTGTACTAAATAAAACCAAAAGGGGGTCTATCTTTCAAACTAAAACTCTATCAACAAACAAACGTTTTTTATGAGTTAATAATGGTAAAAAAGGATAGTTAACATCATATATAAATATATCTACTTCTATTTTATGAATATATGTCTCAAAATATACAATATTTGATTAGATTAGGAATATTATTAATTTTAGACTAACATTTTCCTCTGTCAAGCTAATAGTTAGTTTTACGGCATTTAAATAAGCTTTGTTTGTTATCATAACTCCTTTGGGTAAACCTAGAGAAAAAAGGGGTAAATAAAAAAGGAGAACAAATTAATTTATCGTATACTCCTCTTTTCTTTATCTGTTAATTATTTGAAGATATAACATAAATTAAGATATAGATTCAATGGTTTAGTTACTTCAGTTTTTTAAAGTTTAGTCAGCATGAAGTACTGAGGAAATGTGAAAGATCAAATTTTCTCTATTTATATACTTCTGTGTAACAGTAGCTTCGATATTAAGAAAAATAGTTTATCCGCGCCATTGTTTACATACGGTATGGCGATACTTTATGGCAATGGTAATATTCCTTCGTACGACAGACTGTACAACCAAAAGAAATCATTAACATAATAACCACGTACTCAGTTGGAAATAATTTCAACATGGAATTTTGGAACTTCAATCTTGATCCATTATCCGTGGAGTCAGACAAGTCTCGACTGATTCAGAAACCCATATCCGATACCGAATTATAACCATACTACATCACCAGTTACTTGAATATTAAAGTTCAAAATACTGAATTTCAACTCTACGATTCTGTAATGTTATGTAAATTAGAAGATCCGAAAATCTTTGATCCTAGCTCACATGACTTCATAGGTGTACACTTTTGAGAAGTCATGAAATATAATGGAACTACAGTTTTGTATCTTGATTTTGAGTATTTCTTCAGCTAATATTACCCTGTGATACAAACTACTTTAGGTTGAGACACTTTAAAGACACTTAAAAAGTAAGGCCACAACATAGTATCTTCATAAGCTCTTCGTTGAATTTCGAACCGAATTAAGGATAATGTTTTAATGTTATAATTATTGTGAAGAGTTATATGTTCATAATTTATTGAAAATCATTTTCTCAAAATGTAAACACCTAATTGCTTTGAAATGCAAGTCATCATAATGAAAATTCCTATTTCAACAGGATCATATGAAAAGATCAATCCATTGAATTCTCAAACGATAGAAAATAAAGTCAAATCAGAAATAAGTGAACTTTTAAAAGAGCTTAAATCAGTCATTGGGGCCTCGCTTTGGTTTGCTCTGTATCCCAAATCATGCAATACTTCACGGTTTTATGGTTTACCGAAAATTCACAAACCAGATATCCCTCTAAGATCGATAGTAGACTTTACCAACACACCGACATATGCTTTATCTAAATATCTAAGCAGCATATTAAAGCCATTACAACTTACATCATATAACTAAAGATACATATGACTTTAAATCAAAATTATGGGAATTAATTATCGAGAAGAATGAATTCATGGTAAGCTTTGATGTCGTTTCTTTATACACTAGTATTACTATTGATAAATGCTTAGAATTCATTAGTGGTTTACTAGAAAACGACAATACTCTTGCTGACAGATGTCCTTTAGGCATCAGTATAGTTTGAGATCCTTAAAACTCTGCTAAAATGCGACTATATTAACTTTTAATGGAATGTTATGCAAACAAACGAATGGTGTAGCAATGGGATCCCCCGTGTCCCCCATTTTAAACAACCTTTTCATGGCACACATAGAATCAAATATTTTCGCCGACATTAAGCCACGAATTTGGCTTAAATATGTAGATGATACACTTGTGATAAAAAAAGTCTCATCTAAGATCGTTTTCAAAACGGATAAATAAATTTCATCTCACATCAAATTCACGAATGAAAATGAAAATGAACATGGTGAGCTACCGTTCTTAGATTGCTTAGTGAAAAGTAATCTAAATGGAATTCTAAATATATCCATCTACCGGAAGACTACACACTTGTGGCGGACCAAAACGTGTGTTAACCACTCTAATCGCTATATTGACTCCCATTCAGCATATCCTTTCAGTGCTAAGATCTTGCCAGCCTTAAATCTTTTTAGAAGAGCCAACAAGATCATCACATCAGAAGAGGGCAAACAAAAGAATGTAATTAGTATCTTACAATTTAATGATTTTCCTATGAAGATTATTAGAAGTATATTAAAACAAACGGTTCAGCGCGTAATAATAATAATAATTCAAATGAAATGCCATGAATCGGTACTGCAGTTTTGCCATACCGTCGAGGCACAACAGAACTCCAAAGAATCTTAAAACAACACAGAATTAAAATATATTACAAGACAACGAACACACTTCGAAATACTTTAGTTCGATTAAAAGAAAATATCCCATTCATGTCTACACAGAACTGCGTCTACAAATTAGGTTGCGTCGATTGTGATGCCTTCTATATTGGAGAGTCATCTCGCGGAATCTTGACTTGCTCCAAAGAACATATTAGGTACACAAACAAACCTCTTAATAATCCTGTAGAACTGGATAGACTTCAAATTAAATCAGCAATAACAGTTCACGCCATTTTCAACAATCATCAAATTGATTTCAGAAATATCAAAATACTACAAAAAGGTTTTTCCAATTATAAAGAAAGGAGAGTAGCTGAAGCATTCCATAAAATGCTTAATCCTACTGCTCTCAATAGAAAGGAAGGCCTCACAATACATCCTACTTGGACTATCTATCCTGGTCACCTAGTCTGATATTATTTACAATTCACACCATTACATTACACATTAAACTATCCTATAAAGGACGGCCGTTTCGTCCTATTATGGGACTCCTCAGCAGTGCGCATCCACGAACCTGCTCTCGCGAGCGAGATTCGAACCCAGGACCTACCAGTCTCGAGCCGAAGCCCTTAACCGATAGACCACTGAGCTGGCATCCAACGGTGTTAATGTCTAACTTCAACTGATCCACGAAGTTGAGCAACCATTCACCAATTGTCTTCTGCTGAGGAGTCCCATAATAGGACGAAACGGCCGTCCAGTGTTTCCAGGTTTTCCATGGTGGTCTAGCTTCAATTGACTCACGCTTTCAACAATGATAAATACTAAATCTCTACAAAACCCCTTCTATAATTAATATCCTATAAAGGTCACACAATTTTCATCATTAACAGTGCACCCATACACACAAACTTACATACATGTCGCTTATGATTCACCTTGACCGAAATGACATGATATTGATCTATTCAGACCTGTTTTTTGATTGATCGCACCTAATATTCATTTTGTTCCGTTGTATTATTGAAACTTCGATTAATGTTAATTTGGTTATTTATTCTCTGATGAAGTGGTTTACACCGAGTCACGAAACGTCAGAAAATCTAATTTTTCTATTCGTTGGGATATTACAAATACATTAATTAATTTATTTCTACACTAAGGATCATCCTCTCTAATCATATGTTAATTAGGAATAAAAGTGAATTAGATATTGACTGTCTAGATTCACTAATTAGTCTTCCGTTTATTAAATTTATTTGAAAATTATTTTCTATCACATCTCAATAAATGTCGTTCGATCAAGCTACATGGAGTCAATGAATAAAAACTGAATTATCATTTTATTTCACAATTAGTTGTTCTTTTAGTTTCCTCTAAATTTTTAAATTGTTTTTAAAACTAAAATTGACATTCGTTTGTCACAAATACATGTAAATTATCGATTTCCAGTGTTATAAATAAATCTACCTAATGATCCACTGGTATATAATATCATGAATAGATCGTTGTCATCCGGGACCTAAAAGTAAAGTGTAGAAGCAAAAGCTCAATAAATAACTTATTAATCGGTTTACGGTAGCTTAAATTTACTTAAACCATATTTCATGAATAAACATTTAACTGAACAATGACTTCTTTTATGATTGAAAATGGTAAATATTTCAATGATTATATTGAAATCATTTGATGACATTTACTGAGAATCAATGGGTATGGATAATTTTCGATTCCAATTATCTTTCGATACAAATATAATGATTATGTGGTATACTATTTGTCTAATACTATCATTTAATTATTGTAATATTCTGACTATCATCCCTTTGAAATGTGAAGTACTATATATTTCATGGTCCGATTGATTGAACATTTCAAGACGGATTTGTGAATCCGCGCAACGGAAACACTGTTGCAAATCGAAAAACGACTATTAGGTTTCTACGTGTTTCATTTTTTCATAAACATACATGTACAGTACTTACAAGAGAGTGAATTAAAATATTCAAGACTATGTACTAGTAATAAATTGTATTTTTACAAACCTTTGTTATAGTTTGAAAACGTCCACAGTTATAATAAATTATTAATAATCACCTGCCCTGGGGAAGATCAAGTTAATCATATTGCCATTTCGTAGGAAAAAATGTCATGCGTTTTAACTGAATGGCTTCATCAAATTACGCTTGACGTTAATATTTATTACCGTAAACTACCTAATGGTTATGTATTACATGTAAGTGTTAGTTTCATCACTCCATAAAATCATTATACCCAAAAGAAGTACTTTGAAAGTTTATCCCTTACTGATCAATTTGATATATATAATTGAGCTTTTTATCCCAAACATATTACTTGTCCAGTTTTTAAATGTTTATTGAGCTTAGAAAAATTTCGAATAGTGAAATTATCGAGATTGTGGGTGATTTCCACATATTTGGAAATAATTTCGGAATTACATGAGAGATTTCTCACAGAATGATGCATCTTATAAAGAAAAAAACTGATTTAGTTTATTTAAAATTAAACGCCTTAAACTTAGTTTTTTAATATTCTAATCTCTGTCTTTACGAAGTGAAAGCTATAGCAAATCAAATATCGCTTCGCAATATAGGAGGGTTGACATTCATTGGTTGAAATTCATTCAGTGCTAAGAATCAATGAGGTTTCTAAACCAATTCAAAAAACTTAACAGAGCAACCTCTTTCAATTGCTTAGCTAACACGACTATTTTAAAATATGTCAATACTGAAAAGCGCAGTTTACATAAAAGTAATCAACTGACGGTTATGCTGACTTACCTTTACAGGTAAACGATTAGAATATCCTTTTTCCTGAAATGCAAGTAAATATTAGGTTTCTTCATTACGATATCACGGATAAATTGTAAAGTAAATATCTGAAAACACAAACTGCATGGTTAAATAGAAAGTTGCGTAGTAAGAACTGTATAGGTGCCTTTCATCATTTTTGTTCAATGGTTTAATAGCAAATACTCCACTTCTTAAATATTGCTTTCACAGGAGAGTGAACAATATCGTAGTCATCTGGGAGTTCACTGGAATTTTATGATTTACCGCTTATATGAGAGATTATCTTTGACTTAATTCAAGTTGCGAATACCAATGAAAACATAGATAGTTATAGCCTAATGAACCAAACAACTTTGTTTACTTTCTGTAAATCGAACCTGTGATATACTGTAAGACAGATCCCTGTCATTATCGCAGTAAGAACGTCATATTATCAAATTAATATAAGTCACAAGACCTGGCTAAAAATTATTCCATCAAGTGAACTACAGAAATATATGCTAACATTTCGCTTTTTTACCCTTTTATTCGGGGTGTATTCGACCTAGTATAGCTCAGTAAGCTTGATTATTCTGAGTGAATACCTTCCTGCGTGAAAATAGAGGTCTTCAATTCATTCTAAAAGTAAGTTTTTTCATTATAAAACAAAATGAAACTAGTAGAATAGTATATATGCACTTGATAAAAGAAGTTAACTTATTTATGACTACGAATAGTAAAATAAACACTTAATAGATGACAAAACACTACTATTTATTTTTGTTCGTCATACTAACGTTTACAATTCTTAAGTTTTACAAATTTTACAGAATTAACGTTTGCTTGAATTACTTAAAACCATATATAACAATACTTTAGTAGTTCGTGTTTATAATTAAGTGGTTTACTTTGTCAATGTCACGTATCTGAATGCAATATTATGTCAATTTGTATGGATTATCTGTCAAGGTGGTTGGAATTAGATAAACCGGTAAAAAGATAGACTACTTCTTACGGAACTAGAATTTATGATCTGTGTTTTCACTTTTGCTTTTATTCAAAAGTTTTTTGGTAACTTATCACGTATCTTGTGTTACTGTTGCTATTATAATTGAAGTCGATCAAATTGAACTCGCATCAGTGCTTAGCATATCAAAACTGAGTCGATTACACAATTCAAGGAGAGAAGAACAATAGGTCAAGGTTTATACTTGAAAGTTAATCTGATCTAAATGAAAGGTTCTTGCTTATTTTGCATAATTAAAGAAACTCATTGTATCATTTTTCTTTAACCTCTAGATCCCAAAGCAGCTTTCTTTAGATATTCTGAACCTTAGATCACTTTATTATACAATCGCTTTCTTTTCTCCCATAGACTCATGTATTTATCCAACAACTACTAATATGAGCTTAAGTAAGTAACTTCATCAACAAAGAAATCTTCTTTGCTGCGTTCTCCAAGTCTTGGATCACAAAAAGATAATTATAATTAAATATATTCCGTGTAAACAATCAGAATTCTCAAAATAATACTTGATTCTTCAAAATTAACTGAAAGTTTATTGATTATGTTACATAAGCATTACGAATACAACACATGTATAAGTGAACACAGATATCAAATTTTTGTCAAACGTGTATAGTATATCACATGTAATCCGATTAATGGTATTAGAATGTCTTAATAAACGTATTTTCTCATCTTAATACTTCATATCTCCAGTTGGTAATCTAAGTGAGTTTGTATTAATTCATCAGTGTATGACCTGAGAGAAATTGAATAATGAAAATGACTTTTAATCAAAACAAATAAGATTTCTAGTTTTAGGTTCAAGAATGAACTTATGCATAGTGGACAAGGATGGAACTACACATTTATGCCTTCTACTAAAAATGACACTATGTACTCTATATTGGTGAATTCCGTTGGCTAAGCAGTGGAAATATTTACCACTAAACAGTTATTATGTCATAAGTTAAAACTTTTCAACTTCGTGCAATTATGATTTCATACATTATCTAACTCAAGAAGCCCTAATCCTCACGTTGGGCACATTGCATTCAGATAACTATGTCGAAGTCAAATGATTCACATTTTCAAATCAAATCAACTAGTGATGTCTCGCAGCAAGTATCTAGTACAACCGACAATGCCAATCTTATTCTTTACATAGCATAAATACACTACTTATCAGTTATCACTTAAGCTACACGGATTCACATCGAAATAAGTCATAAGTAAGCACACAACTAATTTTTAGTTGGTTGTTGAGACTGATCTCCCCATTTAAATTTATTAACTGTTGCGAGATATTATAAATGTGGATATATGAATCATTTGATTTCTATTTAGGGATCTGAATGCAATACGCTCCACAAAAGAATTAAAATGCTCTGAGTTTGATAACGCATGAAGTAGTGGTTGCGTAATATTTGGGAGTTTCAAACTAATATATATTAAGTTTTACGTTTCCCACAGCTTTTATTGGCCATTTAGCTGAAGTATGTCCTTTAAAACAATGATTTCATCGACAATCCCCTAGTTGATTATATAAGCATGTTTTCTGAAAAAGAGAATTCGTTTAAACCAAACGATAGATTATCGCTACTTCGTATTGTACAAGTGAAAGTGCTCAAACTTAGTCCTTGAAAATTCGTGTAGAAATAAAAACGAATCTCAGATATATTGGTTTTACATGGACATGACCATAACCCTTCCAGTTGTCTATGGTTAATTTCTTTCAAATAAAAGAAATGCTTTTTGTTATTCAGTTTAACTTACCAACATCTCTTCAAACGTAAACAATCGGACTTTATCTGACCATTCTTTTTCAAAAGATTGGAATGTGCTTTCTGGCTCCATTATAATAAATACTTCAAGTTTCTGTGGATTGATTTTGTACAAATGATAAGCTTGAGATACTGTGTCACAGACAATAATTTTTAGTTCAGCTAAATTAAAGTTGGGAGAAAAAATAAAGCTTGAAATAAATATACTCATCCGCGGGATAATCAACTATACAGTTTCAGTAGTGATTATAAAACGATGAATAAGAGCTCAACTTGAAAATGGATTGAATTTGTATTGTATAATGTAATTAAGTTATGTGATTAGTAAAACAGAACTAGAGCTGTATATATATATATATATATATATATATATATATATATATATATATATATATAAAGAAGGTATTGATGTTGTCTGCAACGAAAATGAGTGAAATCAAACAATTCAGCTCATAGAAGGCAATACTACTGAAATATAGAAACGTGATCACAACTTTATCTGTTTTTAAGGCCTCCTGCAAGTGTCAGTTCTATAAATTCAGATATACTTGGTTTCAATAATGTCTTTCTCACATGACTAAAAAGGCTTTAAAAGAAATAAGTTACTACTCTCTCTGAAGAAGTCCGTTACATTACTCTAATTGTCAGGTTTTATACTTTTCACACATATGCACATACAGAACTATGATTTATAACTTAATTAGTACGAGTAGTTTTAGCAAGTATTTTCCAACATTCGTCAATCATGTATGATATAACGATATTGAAACATTAGTTGACTGAACCGATATAACTTATTCTCATTATGTTCTTAAATTTGTTTTTATTTATTTGGTTGAGAAAGGGGATCTTAATTTCTTCTTTAAGGATTTCTGTTTTGTTTTCAATCTTTACCAGTGTTACCTCGCTGTCGTCTAACTTATTTTCTTTCCTCAACGAACTGAAATCTGTAGGCAAACAACATCAATGATATGATAAAATATTTAATATTTTATTATGGGTCATAGTGAGACCTAAAGCATATTTTATTTTATTTGTCGCTTAGCCCGTAAACCTATTAATATAACAGTTGTTTATGAATTCATTGAAATCAGAAGCCACTCAGATGAGATCGTTTTTAGAACCAATATCCTAGATATCACATAAAAATTATCTACGGAAAAGTTAATAGACATGTGAGTGAATTCTGTATCTCAGTAGCATTAAAAAGGATTTCTTATTATGTAATAATAAAGTCCAACTCCGCCTGTAACCACTGCGGGGGCTACTGTCGGTCACAAGCCCAGATAAAGTAGGAGGGTTTGACATGGGTTTAGCGACCCCATCCCGTAGAATACTAACTCGCTAAAAAACACTAATCATGAAAAATAATTCAAATCATTTAAAGTCTGCCCTGGGAGTCAGAAGGTCTTCATTTAGAAGAGTTATGATGCCTCATGATGAAAGCCGAGTTCTTTAGGAAGTCACGAAGCTGATGCCCCTTCTAACAACCAGAGCATCAATTTTTATAGGTACATGGAATGTCCGAACAATGTGGGAGACCGGAAGAGTCTTCCAAATTGCTGCAGAAATGAGGAACTACAACCTGAGGGTGCTTGGGATCAGTGAACACATTGGACGCAAGTTGGACAACAACAACCAGCTTCAGGGGAGCTTCTGTTATACTCCGGCCATGAAGACGAAAATGACTCACATACACAAGGAGTTGCATTGGTGCTGTCCAAACAAGCACAAAAATGCACTTATAGGATGGGAATCTCATGGACCAAGGATCATCAAACAAAGGAAGAGGGCATTACAATGAACGTCATCCGATGCTATGTGCCTACCAACGACTACAATGAAGATGTTATAGACCAATTCTATAATAGGCTGCAGTCAATCGTCGAGAAGTGCCCAACAAAGCACCTGACCATTCTGATGGGAGATTTCAATGTCAATATTGGAATGAACAACACTGGATACGAAGACGTCATGAGACGACATGGACTGGAAGAAAGAAACGAAAATGGGGAGAGATTAGCAAACCTATGTGCCTTCAATAAACTGGTCATGGGCGACACCATATTCCCACACAAACGCATTCACAAAACCACATGGACTTCATTGGACCACACCACACAAAACCAAATTGACTATATCTGCATCAACAAAACGTTCAGGAGGATGATGAAAGATGTGAGAACCAGGAGAACAGCTGATATAGCATCAGATCATAACTTGCTGGTCGCCAAGATCAAATTAAAACTTAAGAAGCACTGGACAACGGGGCAGACAACATCAAAAAAATATAATACGGTTTTTCTTTGGGATGCTGGAAAACTCAACAAATTCAACATAGCCCTCAACAATAAGTTCAAGGGTTTTCATGATCTACTCAATGGAGAGGGAACTACTATGGAGAACAACTAGAAAGGGGTCAAGGAGGCAATGACTTCAAAATGTTAGGAGGTTCCGGGCCATAAGAAGCATCATCACAAGGAATGGACCACTGTTGATACACTGGATAAGATTGAAGAAAGGATAAATAAGAAGGCAGAAAACAATACCAGCTGAACAAGAGCAGAAAAAGCCAAGGCACAAGCCGAATACACAGAAGTAAGTGAAGAGGAGCATCAGAACCGAAAAACGTAAATATGTGGAAGATTTGGCAACGACGGCGGAAATGGCCGCAAGAGAAGGAAACATGAAATAACTGTATGACACAAAAAAGAAACTCACTGGAAAATACCGCAAACCAGAACGACCAGCGGAAAGCAAGGAAGGCAAGGTAATCACCAACATTGAAGAACAACGAAACAGGTAGGTAGAGCACTTTAAGGAACTCTTAGATAGATCAACCCCATTGAACCCAGCCAACATAGGAGCAGCACCTGCGGACCTCTCAATCGATGTTAGCCCAACAACAATTGAAGAAATCAGCATGGCCATTAGACAAATCAAGAGCGGCAAAGCAGCGGGACCAGACAACATCTCGGCAGAGGCACTGAAAGCAAATGTAGCAGCAACTGCAAAGATACTCCACATCCTCTTCAGTAAGATTTGGGATGAAGAACAAGTACCAGTAGACTGGAAAAAAGGACTTCTGATCAAGATACCAAAGACAGACAATCTCAGCAAGTGCGATAACTACAGGGGCATCACTCTTCTCTCAATACCGGGAAACGTCTTCAACAGGATGTTGTTAAACATAATGAAGGACTCCGTAGAAGCCCAACTTCAAGATCAACAAGCTGGAATTCGTAATGATAGATCGTGTACAGACCAAATCGCAACACTACGGATCATTTTGGAACAATCAATCGAATGGAATTCATGACTCTGCATCAGCTTCATTGACTACGAGAAAGCATTTGATAGAGTGGACAGAACAACACTATGGAGGCTCCTTCGACACTACGGCGTACCTGAGAAGATAGTCAATATCATACAGAATTCCTATGATGGATTAAACTGCAAAATCGTGCAGCGAGGACAATTTATATACTCGTTTGAGGTAAAAGACCAGTGTCAGGCAAGGTTGCTTACTCTCACCCTTTCTCTTTCTCCTGGTCATCCACTGAATCATAAAAACATCAACATCTGAAAGGAAGCACAGGATACAGTGGACAGCTAGGATACAGCTGAACGATTTAGACTTCACAGATGATCTGGCTCTTCTATCACACAAGCAACAACAAATGTAGGAGAAGGCGACCAGTGTAGTAGCAGCCTCAGCAGAAGTAGGTCTCAATGCAAACAAAGGGAAAAGCAAGACTCTCCGATACAATACAACATGCACCAATCGAATAGCACTTGACGGAGAAGCTTTGAAGGATCTGAAAACGTTTACATATCTGAACCGCATCATCGATGAACACGGTGGATCTGATGCAGATGTGAAGACACGGATCGGCAAAGCAAGAGCAGCATATTTACAACTGAAGAACATCTGGAACTCAAAACAATTGTCAACCAACACCAAGGTTAGAATTTTCAATACAAATGTCAAGACAGTTCTACTGTATGAGACGGAAACCTGGAGAACTACGAAAGTCATTATCCAGAAGATACAAGTGTTTATTAACAGCTGTCTACGCAAGATACTTCGGATCAGATGGCCAGATACTATCAGCAACAAGTTACTGTGGGGGACAACAAATCAGATTCCAGCAGAGGAAGAAATCAGGAAGAAGCGCTGGAAGTGGATAGGACACACATTAAGAAAGTAATCCAACTGCATCACAAGGCAAGTCCTCACATGGAATCCTGAATGGCCAAAGGAAAAGAGGAAGACCAAAGAACACATTACGCCGAGAAATGGAGACAGACATGAGAAGAATGAACAAAAGTTGGATAGAACTAGAAAGGGAGGCGAAGGACAGAGTGGGTTAGAAAATGATGGTCGGTGACCTACGCTCCGTTGGGAGTAGCAGGCGTAAGTAAGTAATAATAAAGTCCGTTACTAGGTGAGTTGCTGGTTCAGATACATTTTCTGTTCAAAGACTGTGGTTAAAATAATCCTGTCTTTATGCGTATTTTTATTACTCAATTATATAGAAGCTCTAATTAAAGCCATTGGTCAATACGAGGTTCAAAATTGCACAGTTCTCTCTAGCGTTCAGTCTTTCAGATAATGACATAGATAATAAGTTACTCATTTACTTTCAGAAACTATTAAATTGACAAGCCTCATTTTATAATTGTCACGGTCAGTGATAACTTAAATGGCTTGATATTTATTTGGTGACCTAAAAATTCAATCAATGGATATTTGAAAATACTTGATAAAGAACCCTAGTGGACTGATGGTTGATCTAGTACTGACTGAGTACTTTACATGTAACTACATGTTTTCGTGCTTAATCAAGTAGAATCGATAATGTTAAGAAAATAAATAATGATAAAATCTAATATTATATAATTGATATTATTATCTGCATACTTTTTTTGTTTTATTTTAAAGTCAATACCGTTGTTTCATTTTTTAAGCAGATTGTAAAGTTCGATTAAAAACAACTTGATCTGTACAGTAAATACACTACACGACATTAGACCTTAAATAAAATTTGTGAAAAAGTTTTTTAGGAAACTTATCAAATGTTAGTGGATGTTTATGGATATGAAACGTTAATTAAAAAAAAGCGTTTTTGCAGGTGACGATGAAGATCAAGACAATCTAATGGTAACCTATGTTGATGGAAACATTAAACGTGTGATTTTCCATGTGCTTTATTATCCTTAATTAAATTTTTGGATGATTACTAGTGATTTAAACTTTAGTAAGTGGTTTGTGAACAGGATTCCGGCACTAGGTGGATGTGTGAGACTATGAAAAGCAAAAAAACGAGCCTGACGTCTAACGACTTCCAGATATGTTCCGTAAAGTAAAATGAGTATTAGGATATGTATGTGTTTACAAATGTAAAGAGGAGGTAGTTGGAGGACTTTAGGTTTAATTTCCTATAGATTTTATAAAATAACGTCCCCATGATCTTAGTTAAAGCCTTTGTTGGACAGACTTTGCATATTTATTTACAGCTGCCTAACAATAAAAACGTTTATTAAAAACGACAATCATGTGAAATTATAATTTGCTGATTTCTGGCTTTAGATGTATTATTCATTTTTTCCTAAGACTTCCTGTTTCGGAAATTTGCTTTGACTCCATAGGATACGCGTATTTGCAAAGCTAATTTTTAAAATTACTCACTTTCATTAATAACATGAACTATAGCTTCATCACCAAAAGTACTGTATAACGGTACAATGACAAACGAGTATGCAGAACCAGCTAACTGTGTTATCACCCACTAAAATAATAGGGAATAAAGAAACTGTATATGATGCGTTACTATTTACAACATTAAATCGCTAAATAAGGTAAACAAATGATTATTTCTGTCAAGTCCATACCTCACAAAGTTACTAAAAATTTTATTGGCGAATGCATCAAGCGGGTAGTAAACGCAGTTTGAAAAACAGCTGTCCCTTATAAATTGCAGACTTCTTAAAAATAAATGGATACAATTTCTCGTTACACACAAACTTCTTGACAGAAATTTTCCTAGTATCAAATTGAATAAATAACGTACACTGAAAATATTTTATTTCACAGAGCGATATTGCCTGACGAAAGTGACTTAATCTAGAGTATTACTTTATGTTCCTGGCTTGTGTATTAAGTGAATGGAGTGTATAGATTTTTAGTTTTTGAAGAAAATAAGTATCTAGATTCAGCAGCTAAGTTTCATATGACTTAAAACACTCCCAATTAAGTATATATATATATATATATATATATATATATATATATATATATATGTCTCCAAGACATCCCTCAGGGTAGATAGGCATACAAAAATGAATTTAATAAATTTGGTTTGGCGCGGTAAATCACTGTATCTTATATACACGATTGTTTTTCTACTCAGGACGTGGAAACGGCAGAACACGGGATACCACTTTTGTTCTCTTCAAAGTATTAAGGTTAAAAATGCACAAAAGAAATTATTACCACACAGTCTTTGAATGTGTGATCATAATTTATCTAATAATCCGAATCATTTCTAATACTAACAAAATTGCCAACAGTTAGTCAGTCATCACCAACGTAAGACTGTGCACAGAGAAATATTAAACGATGTTATCACATCTCATATCAACACAACAAAATTATTCTCCATTAATCGACGGATAGCTTTTATATCTGTACTAACTAATTTCTATATTTACTGGTGTTAATAATTCGAAGAATTATAATTTGTTGTTCCTAACCTCCATGGTTCACAATCCTCTAATCCTTACATTAGGACTCACAGTCACAATTGTTATTGCATAACTCTAGTAAATATTCTTTTATTTCTTCCAATGTGTTAAGAACATTCGTCAACTTATTTTATTGCCCCTAAAATCTAAATGTTTAATGTAATAAAATTGATAACTGGTACGGTGCAGTTTGTAAATGTTGTTCACATTCCTTTTAAATGCCGAGATACTTTAGGCTGGCCAAAATATGGTATGGTAATATGATTAACTTTAAATTTTTATACAAAAGATGGTCTTTATAATAAGTAATATTATTTATTATTTCATTTGGTTTGCTGTGGTGACATATTTTGTATTATTCTACATTAGTGATATTATGGCTGAGCATATGATTTTTATTCAGTAGTTGTTTCTTGGCAAAATCCGGATTCCTAGATGTTTAAAATGGAAGACAATGAAACATATCGCTTTCTACCTATTAAGTTTTAAAGTTAACGTTGTGGTTTTTCATCTATTCCTTATGTTTATGAAATGAACTGGCTTTCTGATTGGTCGTTAAACAGTGATAAAATTAAGTTAGTTTAATAGTGTCTAATCCCCTATATACATCTATGCTTTCTAGTCCGGCTGTAAATTATAAACACTTTCAAACGTATTTATTCTGACTCGCATTTTGGTTATATTCCACTTCCTCTTACTTACTAGTCAAATATTTTATCAAATGTAGCTTGTTTCAATTAGCTGTCCCGTAATCACATTGAAAACTTACCTTTGGAGAATTTTTTCCATAAATTCCAATAAAATTATTCGTGGAGATTTCTCCCATCAGTGTCGTTACTGATGATCCAAACAGTTGAATTTTTTCATAAACCTGAATATTAAGTTAATGAAATTATATTGTTCCTCTTTGTAAATATACTTACCTCATCATAAGTAATCCATTTAATTGGAGAACTGAATGACTGACGATTTCCGAGACAGAATTTATCTTCTGAATAACATAAATAAAATTCACAGTTAGTAATAAATGATTTCGAAAAATACCATTACCTTAGAATCATGTTCATTAATTCACCTTGGAATAAAACGGAAGTTTATTTTTAACGAAGATGGAACCTGTTCTTATCTTTATGACAAATAACACACACTTAGAAATAAAACCCTAAAAGAAGATTACATAGTACAGTGGGAATGAAGAGTCAGTTTAAAATATATTTTATCTAACACAAATCATAAGTTCTTTTTTATGTTTTGCTATTTAATTTACTTTTTTGTCAAACACTTCTTAAATATCCTAGCTTTGAAGTTTTCGAAGTGTTATTTTACTGCACCAGTAGCGCTAACAAACAAATGACATTCTATATATATAGATTACAGCTATCTACAAATTAACCTTTTATTTATCTTGATTTATGTTGGCTGATGATTGTCTTCAAAATTATGATAAGGCGAACAGTTTAAGGTGAAGCCTTGAGTAAAGTTCATATCTTAAAACATCTAATCTTAGAAACTTGTTTCCAAATCAAGCAATATAGTGTTTATAACCCAAATACTGATGCAAGTAAAGGAATTGATGTGTCATGCTTATGATGTAGTTTATTCACTTAAATTTTTACTCGACCATTAGGTGATTAAAGGATCTTAAGTAACACCTAATACTACTAAAGCAGTTGTGAGAACTAGACCGGACAGGTATCTAATATTTCTTCAATGGTACGTACAAACATCACAGCCAAGTTATCATCTTGCTATGACGACGCTATAAAATTGACCATACCTCATTCTGCAAATAGCCTTGCAACTAATTGAAACATACGTTAGTATCACGCAAAAGATGACCCTTTGTGATTTCAGACTGCATGTAAGCTAACATCATTTATTTCTGTGGAAGAACGACAACTAAAATCTCTTCGTCTTAGCTGGAAGCAAATTAAATAGTAAAGAGTTCATGGACATTAAATTTAGAAACTTTTATAATGTGGTCTGTTTAATTATTCTTCCTGAACTCTAAGATATAAGGACAACGATTATATGCGTCATTATTATTATTTGTGAGACACTATTCGTAGCTTTAATAATAACATTAATTAAGTTCAACCTAATGAAGTTTATCTTGACTGTCTTTTACTTAAATTCTATTCCTGAATGATGCTTAGATCCGTTTATTTAATGTGTATTTATCGTGTGGCATCCTTCTCAGTATACTGTTGTACTTTATATTTTTCGTTATAAAAAACACGTGAAGCATAATTTTCATCTGTAATCATTTTCGAGTAAGTTACCCGATTTATTTAGAGGTCGCTAGATACTTAGTTATGAGTTAATCAGTTGATGATCAAATTATTTGTTAAGCTCAACGAATACACTCATTATGTTAGTCAAACTCCCAAAAAGATATGAACTACATGCTCTACATCCATATTTAATATCACAGTTATCAAATTTGATAAGTAATCCATTAACAATCATCTCTGAAGAATTTCAGGCAACTTTTGTACTACGGAATTTTATCAGATGTTTATGTATTAGTCTGATACAAATAAAGAATTTTAACTAATCTATAATTGAATTGTGAACAACAAGTTTTATATAAGGTTCCTTATTTCAGTGAACTTATGATGCCTAGTATCAAAGAATATTTCAAGTTTTCAAGATAACGACAAACAGTCCCATTCGACTGCTTGAGTACATAATAACTGCTGTAAAATTTTAAAACACGAGATAGAGGAAGATGAAATACGGTTGTACACTCGCTGCCGTTGATGTCTGATCACTTTTTCTTACCGCTTTTTCTTTTTCTTTGTTATAATTGATCTAAGTTAAAATTATTTCGACAAATCTTTAGCGCGATCAGTGATTATTTGAATACGTGGGACTGTGTTCAGTAAGATATATGATTTTTTGTTTCTGTGCCGACTGAAATTCTAGGTTTGACTCAGCAAAAGGGTAGGCGTAAGTTATTAAACCGTACACTTTGCACTTAAATGTTTTCCAATTCTAAGGAGCCTTTAGGACAAAAAATTCAACTTCCAGTATTGGTCAAAAATCCTATGTGTCCAAGTTACACACCTAATTTAAATCAGAAATTATTTAGTAACTTGTCAAGAATTTTTTATGACTACCCACTCAAGCGTTTATAAATCAGGGTGACTGCATAAAAAAACTGTTTACTCACTTGACTTTCTTAGTCCTATTTTAAAGAGATCAAATGGCGACTTTGGTTCCTCAGCATCGGTAACAGAGAGTTTTCTAACAGACCCTCTTAATCCTGTCTAAAACATAGTAGAAAAAACATTGTCAAATTTAATGGTATACTACTTTTTGGAATTTTAATATTGATCAACTTCTCACTCACACACCCAATTTATCATGCAAAACATAAAAAGTCTATCACACTCAATTATCATTATGATGAAAAACCTTATTATTGTGCTGATGATTTCGTGTATTTTCATAGTTGAGATCATGGTCTAGCTTCAATTCAACCATGATTTCAACTATGAAAATACTAAATTCTTAACAAAACTCTCTCTGATTTTCTGTATATCTATTTCAAAACTTATATAGAAAATCAAAGTGTGGTATAAATGGGGAATAAATCCTGTGCAATATTTTCATTCCAAGGAAAATTAGCCGACAAAAATATTCTGAGACATATCGACAAATCTATCCTTTAACGGTTAACATGGTAACAACCTAGTTTTAGATCATCATAACGGCTTCACATTTTCAATCAACCGGCTTCAATTTAAACACTATTCCCAAAGTTTCGGATATCTTTTGTTACTAGTAAAGACCTGATAAACTATAGAACCAGTTTTCATGACTAATCGAAATTTTGACATCTCTAGGATGAAATTATAAACCATGACTTGTAACTAAACTTTTTAATGAAAACATTTTACGTTTCTGTGGTGTGGTTTATGTACAATAAATTTATAGTATGTTTAGTTATGATCAGCTTATTTCGCAACTGACTCAGTTTCTTTATTTTTTTGTGTAAAGTTAATTATCCTAAGTAGATTAACAAAGTTCTAATAACATGAGCTATTCAGTTACTAATCTAGACTTTTCGGAATGTTTCAGATGAACTTCCCATCTCTCAGTTGGAAGACAGTTCTATCAACCACATAAATTTGTTACTTACACAACAACTAATGTTTTAATCAAGCACAAAGCACCGAAATTGAGTATCGTACTGAGGTTGTGATGTAAGGATGTTTGGAATAAATTGACAGGACAAATTAGCCTTTAAGAGAGTTGAAACTTTCCTTAAGTACATAATTATACAATATTTACGGCTACTTCTGGTTTTAAAATGTCCCTGCATAAATAGAAATGACGTTCTAGTCTATCTTATAATACATATGTTGTTATATTTCATCTGAAACGAATGACGAGCAGTCACAGAGAAAACTACTACAGTATCTACAGTTTTTATTTAAAGTAAATGTTAACGCTAGTTGTTTTGAAATGGTATGATGTTTTCAGTTATAGCAAGGTAAAGAATATGTGTTTATACCGAAATTCTACATTATAAAAATATATAAACTACTCTGCCTCAACAATGACCGGTTATATAAGAAAAACTAGAAATATTTTTTGGAGTGACAAAGAAGTGGACGTTTTTGTACATGTATCCGTATATACATGTGGAATCATACCATTTTGGTATGCCACAACGTCTCTTTGGTGAAACATATTTAAAATCGAGATGCTTCAAACTGAGCCCTCACAAAAATAAAATTCCATGCAAACTACATGGTATAGTTGAAATCGTATCTTGTATATTTTATTTGATATTCGCATTCTAACCTGAAAATTATGACACTTCTTATTTGTGTCGTAGAAGTGTAGTAACATTCAATAAGTGCTAACCCATTCAGAAAGTGTGTATGCGTTTGTTCTTTTATTACTTCTTGGCATTCGTTTAGTCTTCAAAAACTTTTTATCCCACAATTACTAAATCTTGACCAGGTTCCTCCCAAAGACGAGATAAATTTGAAAATAACAACAAAAGGACAGTATCATAATGCAGTTGTTCATCCATATTAATAAAATAGAAGCATCTTAATGTCCTTGAACTCTCATCATTCTTAAAAATGATGTTTTGACAAGGAATAAGCGTAGTTTGGTTGAAGTGAAACCTCATGATTAACATGTATTTTAGTATGGAAAAATCAGCAGTTACCTTTTCGTCAATTATCACAGACTGATTGTCGGTAAATTGAACTTTTTTCACCCTTATTTGTCCGCAATATTGGGTAGTGATTGTGTATATTACGATGATTAGCACTATTGACACCAGTAGGGGAGACACTGGCAACAAAGAGGTATCCATCCAATCCATTTTATTATAGCTTTAATGGGTGCTAAAAAAGTTCATATATATCCACAACAACTTTCGTTGGTGTACTTATTTTAACATTCTGTTCATACGTAACAAAGATAAGAATAACACTACAATTCTAATATTTTATTGTTACATTACTTTAACGGGGTTTGGCAAATGATTCAAAACAAAATTCTGAAAGTTATTCCTAACCGCTGACAATCTTGTGGCTCAACTTCACGACCAATATGTGCAATCCATCACATATTTATGGTTGGCTAAGCATATATATAATTACTTTAGTACTTTCAATGCTAAGTTAAAAGTAAAAAAATATGGGATGTGCATCAATTATTTTAGATATATTGATTTGGACCGTACTGTGTACAGAATAACTTGACCCGATTAATGTTAACGGACCCGTGCATTTCTTGATCGCTAAACGCTGTGATGTAACTTAAGAAAGTTTTTCTTGGTTTTTTTTAATTTGCTAGTGTTTTCAAAGCCTGAAACCTGGTAAAAGGTACCCTTTTCTCTAAACGAATAAGATGCTTGTAAAAGTAATTTTTATGGTTCTAGCTGAAGAATAATCAAAATTTGATGGAGAACATTGGGCGCTGATATTTTACTAAATACTTTTGGTTTAGCACTGTAGAAATCAACCGACTAATTAATTGGAACAAGGCTGCAATTTTAATTATAATTATGGATCATACCGTGAATACTGTCTTGAAAAAAACTCCAACCATCAAAGTGGCCTTTACCGGTGTGTTATTTGTGTGTGAGTGCGAATATTTCATAATTTTCACTGCTATTAAAAGTCACATTACGAATCTGTTGACTACCATGCAATAAAGCTAAGTTACTGACTTGATATGAAGTAAGAAATTAAGTGATTTAAAAACAAACCCTTGTTTAATAGCATATTTAATCCTTAAAATGCTTCAGTGTGTTTGAAATCTATACACAGGGACGGTAAAAACAACCGTTCGTATTTCGAACACTTGGTTGGCTTATACTAAAGTCATAAAACATTTTCAAGCATAGGAACAACATATGAACCAGCTATGCGCTTTAGGCCACAGTCAAACATAAATCTGGAACTTGGCTTTCCTGATTATTATTAGCACCATCGTCAACATTATAAAGACAGTTTGCGAAAAATAACTGGAATAACTGTAAAAAGTGGACACTTTGTCAGAGGCATTGTGGATTCACAATAACATATATTATCACTTCACTTATTTTTAAGTGACATGCAGGTAACGGAGATCACATTTATCCAAATAAAAATCATTCTTCTGCCAGGCAATCAAATCTTCAAGTTAGACATACAACTTTTTGCCCTAACTAGTAGTATTACTATCTTTAGATGTACTGGAAAGCAAGTGAAATGACGCAAGTATTTATTCCCTTTCTCTGTCTCCAGTCAGGAAGTCTAAACAAATTGAGTAATAGTGGTACTGTAATTTATGGAGAACCTTTAAGTGACGCTAAACTGACCTTCAGAGTATCCTCCTAATAACTACGACCAAATGAGGGTTATAAATCAGTGTGAGGAATAAGGTTTATGGTTTTCATCACAAACTGACATCAGCTATAATGGCAAAACTCTATTCAGCCAAATAAATGAATGAATTTAGCGCCAAAATCCGAGACCTATTATCTTATACCTGGTAAGTTCGTCCATGAACTATAGTCTCGCCGAAATAATTTCACTTACTTTCGGGCAGTGATCCCTGAAAATTTATATTCCCTTCTGTAAGCACAGTGCAAATCGTGTAAACTATTAAGACAAACGATGTCAATTGACTTTGAGCGATAACAAATGTGAAATTTAAAATGTTGGTCCTCAGTGTAACTAAACAACCATCAGAACATATCAAAAGTCTAAACTTCAAGCTCTCCTGCACAGGATTGTCGGGACTTGAGTTTATTAAGATTTGAGATTTCTCAGTAAGGGTTGCTTGTAGATACAGAAATGTATAACTCCTGTTCTGGCTTTTCGGAAACTTTAAGAGCAAAATGTTAATGAACAGTAGGAGAAGCGTTTAGAGAAGAACACCTGAATATATATCTTCCACAGAACCATTACACTGGAAGATTTTATAGTCTCCTTTTAAGGAAATTAGAAGAAGAAACCATCAGTATTAGTAGCAGTAGTAGTAGTTGTTGTTGTTGCAAAAAGGCAATAGCGGCAAATAAATTCCCAAAATAAATAGTTTTCTAAGTCTTCAGTACTGGTGCTGAGATCAATAGTTTTACTGAACGAACACAAACTCTAGAAGCTTGTTCACACATCCGTACCATATCTAATCCATGCCATACTCATCCCTTGCAAGCTCAAGCCAGATTGAATAGGACGCCCCTCGCTATATTGGCAACCTTCCATATGTACGTTGTAACCCTTTCACTTCTGACAGCGGATTTGACTGAGTTTATAGCCTCCGATTATAACGATGTCACGGACAAACGAGTCAAAACCTGGATATCCGTGGCATCTTTAGTAGTGAGCTTGACGTGATCTGGTATAACAGTCGATAAACTATGTCTATTCCTTGTTGTAATACTATATTTTTTGCTTTTACGTGTAGTGATATTCTTTCTGCATCCTTGGATTTTTCGCCCATATACGTACTTCACCCTCATTATGACGGAACAGAAACCGAACCTGTTGCAGATTTAATAATGTAATATTATATATATATATATATATATATATATATATTCTGAAAATAATTATTACAGAATTCACGCCAATTGACAGGCATGATCAATTCGATATGAATAGTAACATGAGATGTAGAGAAAAAACATGTGATATAAGATTGCTATAAGTTTGCTAGTTCACTTATTGTTTATGTAGTATATTTATGACATGTATTACAGAAATCCAATGCACCAGCAAGGAACTTTTAATTTTTTTCTTAAGTGGATAGCCTGTCGATTTATGAACAGTGTTTTTTAAAGTTATTTCCTGTACCAGAACGAATTGTTGATAACTATCTACAACTAGAGAAGGTAAAATAAAAGCAGAGGGCATAGAACAACAAAACACTGATCACCAAAATATGTCCGTCAGGTTTATCACCGTTCATGTTAGACATTATTCAAACAAGCTAGGGTTACTAGGGTCACTGTCAACGTAGAGTGACAGCAGGTAAGTGGTTTTGCTCAGGGAAATCACTAATGGCCAAACATTTTAAGTTCCTATAATCTCATTTGTGGAGTAAGGTACACTTACAGGCGCTAGAACATTCAATCTATTTTCCAAGGAGCAGTATGCTTTAATGTAGCGAACAAAGAATGGGAGAGATTATACTCTAACGCCGATCTCCTTTCAAGTCATGCCTTTCTGGCCTAATAATATCGAGGCCTGACACAGAAACTGACTTCAACGAGCACGGTGTGACAGATCTATGTGCCTATTTTCTCGCAGTAGCGAAGGCATTACCTCACGAGCTGGACAGGTAAGTTACACCTAGTTTGTTTACTAGTGATGTTTCTGGACATTACGATACTTTGACAAAGGTTATCCTGGGACATCACCAGCTACATCCTCGTAGGCTACGGAATATACTGACTAGAGCAGTTAAGAGAACGTTTGATGCAGTTAACCTATATCCATCGTACTTGACGCAATCTATGATGATTCCTCAATTAAAGTATAAGTTACCTGGTTCTGCCACATTTATGTGTATCTACTAGTACAGCTGCTTCTTTGGAGAAAGCTACATCGGGCATATTACCAGACAAGTGGGCCAACAAGTTAGTGAATACCTCCCTTCGTGGTTGGGGGAGGGTACGGTCATGACAATATGCAGCCCAGCTCTATCACATTTGATCGATAGCGGTCAGGTAGTAATTAGAAGAAGGTCATCTGAAGTTATTTACCATATTCCTACTAGTTTTCTTTGTGGGGTTCCGTCTCATCTCTTGCACGCAGCAGAAGCTACATGAATCCGAGCTAACAATCCAAGTCTTTGTGTTCACAAGAAATTTGTAACACCTTTATCTCTCCCTTGGCCTTAATAAATGATGTTATTCATTATTACATTCCATATTCGGCTAGTCTATCTTTCTTCATCCTCTCCCACCTATTTTTAAATACACTTTACCGTTCAATTATCTGAACACTTCTTATATCGTAATCTTACTATTTTTATGAATGTTATTTCAGCGTCCATATTTTTTTGATCATCAACCTACCTCGCATTATGAAACATCGATTCAAGCTTTTATTATTGTTGTCTCAGCTAGTACACCTGTCTTCTTTGAGAACCATCTACCAGTGTCGTCATTACGTTAAGAATGTGCAGCCTCTATCCTGAAAGTCCCACTCACTGCTTTCTCGAAAACGGGGTGTTGTTGATGAAATTGGGAGGAAGAAGGGAGAATGTCCCGAGCTCTGATCGGTTTGTTGGGTATGGAGGACGCATCCAGGGGAGTTTGAAAGCCTTGATTCCAAATCGAAGTTGCGCGTGAACTCTGAGATCCTGACAGAAAGACAGCGTATGAACCCATTGTTAGTCAACGGATACCATAGGACTGCGTCTACCAACATTGCTTCACCGCCTTGTTGATTAGACCATTAGGTCAAAGGCTCGAAGAGAGGCCTTCGAAGAAAACCACCTGCTTCGGCTTGGGCTTGGGGCAATATTTTAGCCCTCATACAAATCGAATGATTGGGTGTGACGCATATATGCTTGGTGTCTCTCTGTACCAATGTTTTATGTTTAATTAAACAAACCAACTGAACAACTTACTACCAGTCAATAAGCTTAAGAACGTGTAATTGTACCAGTATATATCACGACTAATAACCGCTTGCACGCAAAAAGTAGTCTACAGAATCAGAAGCTTCACGAAATGTCTTAGTATTAGTAATAATGATGTTGGCTAGCTTCGTCACCCTAAATTTTAATGCCGCCTGGATTTTTCTAATGTGACTGCAGCACTCTGATTTAGATGGTTAAGAATTCGCCAGGAACCTCCTATTAAAACATTATGGCTAAATTTTTTAACTGCTTTCTTATTTTGTTTACTCGTTAGGTTTCCTAGTGGTGCAGAAAAATTTGTCGTATGCAAAAACAATATTATAAACAGGCAGAGATGGGTAAAATACCACTCAAGCTTACTGCTATTTTCGTGCCTTTTTTGTCCATTCTTATGAAGAAAAACAAGTGACGAAATGATACTCCAAAAATTTGATTTCCTGTTTTTTTCTTACAGACACACCCATAAATATTTTTAACAAACCGACATTTTAGGAATAAGCTAAAACCCTAGATATGTCGGACTGAAAAGTCGATTGTGCTTAATTGACCTTTATGGCAACGTATGAATCATTCTCATTGCTAAGTGTCAATTCGGCGATTTCTTTGTTAAATAAACAGCCTGATAGTGCACACAGCTTTTCATTAACTAGATAGGCTAGCTTAAGCCTGTCGAAGCCTATTATGACTGTGTTTCAATGTTTTTGTAAAACAAAATGTATAAGCTTACATGCGAACATATTGAATGGGAGATTTGTTTTCATTACTCACCACTGTTCACGATCGTCTCGTAGACTTTTGCTTAACCTAGAGCTGATTTGCTTTCGCTCCTTATCGTGTCCGGAGCCTGATGTTATAAGTTTACGAAGGTCTATCAGTGCAATAGATGTCGCAGAAATTCAATGATCTTTCGTATATCGTTAGCTTAAATCACTAATAGATGTCGCTGCTGTTTCCACAGCTGTAAGTATATCTTCCCAAGCAAAATCCGGGTCAGCCTCCTTTTCAAAATTGCATAAGCGTGACTCCAGTTGCTCCTGGAATCCACCTTTGATTTTCTCACTGCTAAGTTAAACACTAACGAGACTTCTTGGTGTGACCTTTCTGAGTCTAGAGAGACACATGCAAATGTGTGTTCGTATTAGAGCATGATCAGAGTTTAAACGTATATTCCAAACAAGTGACAGTCTTCTATCGAGCCTCTCTAACGATAACTGATGGCAATGTGGTCTATTTAAGTTCGTCGTTGGTTCGGTGCAGACAATCGCTAAGTTAGACGATGTCTCTTCTTATGCTTAAAATTAATGCTTGTTAGAAATACACAAGTGCCTGAGCACAGCTACAGAAGACGGTCATTATAATCTGTTTGCTGGGCCAGAATTCCAAAATATGCACCTAAGTGTCTTTCTATTTAATTTAAGCTACCTACTTCGATATTAAAGTCTCCTGTACTGCCTGAGTGTTTAGCTTTTTGAGGAAGTTAAGAAAGCCCTCTTCAACGTCCATCCTTTATTTCCTCCGGGTTGTTGTCAGTGAGAGCATAGGCAGAAATGACGAAAAGGCAACGACGTGTCTTTATCCTTACGAATTCTTACGGAGCCGTTTAGCCGAACAGAACACGGGCGACTGGTAACAGCGACCTATTCTAATAGGGCTTGTTCTGTCTTCATACGTAGTGCTATGTCCACATCCAACAGTCCACGAAAACTTGCCGAAGAGGGAAATCGATTATGAATACAGTGGTCTCAAGTGCTGTTGTAGGTACTAGAGCAGTTATCACGTCCCGATTGTCTACATCGTGGAAGAGTTCTTGTAGAGGTACTCAAAAAGGAAACTGGATCAGAGTTGGTCTTCGTGATCTGAAAACGTGACTACAAATCCTAAGGGACAACTGCTTGAGGCCGGTCACATACGGTCTTTGTGTGGATAGCTTCCGTGTTAGTTACGTATTTGTTGAAACTTTGCCATCGTGGATGGAAGTTTGTGGGATAAGACGAGGTGTGCATTTTTAGGGTCGACCTTTTCCAACCACACTCGTCCTCTGTGGGAAGGCAGCATCGCTGTTATGCTTGT